ACAAACATCTCTCGTAAAAAAGTGCATTCTCAAAACAACGTATGAGTGTACAATCTCCGATGTCAGGATGTCCTTATGAACTGAACAACCAACGCTTGGAACATCGCAGTCTTTGATGACATCCAGCGCATCCCAAAACATGTCGGCGCACAGATGGTTTTCTCCTAGCACGAGAGACAGTTTTTCTTCGACGCGTTTCAACATTGTGTAAAGTTCTGTAGAGGGATGCTTGAGGCTTCCGTTCCTGAATTCTCTTGCCAATGTCAGTAGTGAAGCGGGGAATTTAGTGTTTGTTGACTGGATGCTGCTTATGCAAGCAGCGCAGTTGACGTGCTTCAGAAAAGAATGTACAATGTAGCCGCAGAGGTAATATACGACGCACTCCTGTACTGCTGGCAAAGCATATCCGTGGTCCGGAAGCGGTGTCGGTCCCGAGTGGGATGCTGAACTTATTCCAGGCAAGCAAACCTCGGAAATCTTTGCGCTGATTGTCTCACGCAACTTTTCATACGTTGCCAGCTGCTGCTTCTTCCCTTGCTTCATCGTCTCTTGCACTGTGGCTAGTATTAAGGTTGGCTCCTCTTGGACATTGCCTGCAATCGAAGCCTTGACAGGTGTGTACAGGCTCAGCAACCTGTAGATATGGGAAAAGCTCAGGATCGTCGGATGGTCTTCGTCACCTCCAAAGCTCCTGGTGATTCCGAAGAACCTCTGTAATGGTAGTAATAAAGCCGTACGTCAGTTCACCGTATGTATCTCTTTCAGAAGTCAAAGTACGCATGGCGTATGGAATGCATAAAGAGGATTTATAGAGTGCAAGTCTCAGGCGGGAATTGCACATCTCACATAGAGATATGACGACTGTTTAAAACCACGCTATGCTTCCTCATAACCGTTTTGTTTATTTTCCATGCAATGAAGTAAGTGCGCAGTTTTATGGAATTATGCTAATCTCACCTCCAAGGGGTCTTGATTAAGCTTGCCTGTGAGCACGTAGCGTGCACCTTTAGCAAGGAGGTCATTTGTTAGTTCCAAGATAGATGACAAAGTCACCCTTAGAGACTCCATTGTTACTTGAGATGCGAACATGGCTGTTCCTTTCTCAACGTGGTTTCTCTCTGTCAAGTCCAAGATAATCATGAAATCTTGGATGATCTAGAAAAGGGAAAAGTTTATGTTAGACATTACTTTTTTGTGCAAGCTAGCTCTTACATGCAAACGTCGACGCCTATAAAAAAAGGGACCTTTGAAGAAAGGCATAAAGTTATTTTTAACCTGATTTTTTAATGAAACATGTGTGCCACTGAATGAAAATGGAAGCTGGTAATACTTGAAATCACGCTTGCGGCGTGTCGCCTTCTCATCGACGTTTATTTCAGTTATCTGGAAGGAGAAGTTCTAAGTTCCAAGACATTTATTCGTCGTCTTTCTTTCAATAATACCTTCCTTCAATTACAAAATAAATGTCTACTTAAACTAGGCTTTTGTTGGTGTAAATGTTTGTCGGCGTTTTGTATTTTATTTATATGCCCAGTGCCTCAGTTCTTGATTAACATTACCTATTGCGAATGTTCTTCAAAAGTAGCACATTTTATCGCCCTTGCCTTAATTTCCTTGGATGTGCTCCTTATCCCAAAACGAGGAAGCTTGATGTTCAGGGCATCAAAAAGGTCATTTATGATGCGGGTAAACGCGGCTGTCCCCTCGCAGTCTTCCAGGCCATCTTGCTTGAGTCTCCGGTACACATCAAGGCCGATAGCCGTACTTCGGCTGAGCAGCTAGGGGACAGAAAACGTATAGGGGCATTTTATTAATCGCAAAAAGACTTAAGGAGAACACTTCACAGTACCAGTTAAGTTTGTGTTTCACATGTGAAGAATTTGCCTAAATAATCAGGTAAGCTATAAGTTCTTTCAAAAGCAGCTTTTCGTAATCTTACCTGTACTGCGAGCTTCACACTCATTTTTCTCATGTTGTCAGGGCAGACGTGTTCAGCGGTAAGCTTCGGAACAATGCGGAGTTGCTCTTTGCCGTCTACTTCTTGCAAAACTCGGTAGTGGTCATAGTTTATGCGATGTTCACCAATCTATGAGCAAGAAGAAGAGAGGGAAAAAAAAAGTCCGTCAGTCGTATGTAGTGCTGCGAAGAAAATGTATTTTGATTGGCACCGCGACACTATTTATTGCGATATTGTACTGTACGTGGTACTTACCATGCCATATTTGTGTCGAAGAAGATGGTTTCTAATGCATTTGACAATGTGGGGTACATCGCAAAGGAAGTAGAGGCTTTGATTTGGCTCGCATGGGTGCTGAACTTTGTGGTTTGCTGTGTGAAGCTTTCCTGATATGCCAAAGTTGGACCACATTGCTTTGTTCGTGCTGGCGCCATCACTGATTACTGCGACGACTATGGCGTTGTGTTTGCGTAGCTGCACGATTGCATCAAGAACTATTTTGGCGAGCACGTGTCCGGGGGCTGCGTTTTTTGTTGCAAAACTTGCAATCGGTTGAACCCATGAGTGGAATAGAGGCACAAACATTGCAACCAATGCATGATCAGCAGTAGCTGCTGAAACTTCACCGTCTCCGTAATTTACGAACCCATCAATCTTGTATGTTTGACGGTTGAAAGCTACGGCTTGGCGTACCTTCATTTCATCTATTACTAGTGTGCCGTAACACTGGACTCCTTTCATAGTCTTCATGAAAGCCCCTATGCTGGAAAGGGAGAGCTTATTAAAGCCAAACTCACAAGGCATTCCTCTTATTATTTGTCGGAGCCTAGTCGAAGTTGGAAGAGGGAGGATTTTCATTCTTGACATCAAGCGGTACACACGTGGGCTTGAAATCTTCAAGAGAAGGCAACTCAGCAGCCACCCACAGTCATACCGCACACCTCTTGAAGATTTCGCTTTCATCGACTGCAGTGCTGTCCGAAATGCAAGTTGCTGCAGTGGTGGAAGTTCAGCTAAAACCTCGCTCAACAGTGCATTGCTTGGATCTGATGACAACTTTTTTTTCAAGCTTAGCAGGTCCCTCTTGTATTTCTCCCGCAGCACTGTTGCTCTTATAGTCTTCTTTCTTAAATTTCTCAACAGCGCAGATGGCAAAGGCACGTACTTGCTCTTTCTTGAACGTCGTTTCTGCCTGCACTGCAAGTTCTTTTTTGCTTTCCTGCACTGAACGCATAAGGCTTTCGCCGACAGCACTGCACATCGCTTGCTTCTCCATGTTCTCCCAGACCTTTCAGCCGTCTTAGAAGTTGATATTAAAGGACATAAACGAGAATCAAAACCATTGCAGATACCCAGGCTCTCAATGAGATGAAGAAAGGGCGCTGCGTCTTTCAAGGTGGTAAAATTGAGCTTGTCACTGTTAATAAAGGTGTAAGACGATTCCGGCACAAGTTTCCCTTTAGCGCTGACAACAACGGTCGAGTTTTTGTTTATAACGACAGCTCTTTCAATAAAAACTACGCCACCAATTTCTTGAAGTTTGTAAAAAACAACACGCTCATCCGTGTGTTGCACACACCATGCTCCATACACGGGCAAGTCTTCTATGCCACCAAACCAATGTTCACCTGTGGAGCTTTCTTTCATGATGACTTCCATGCTTTCAGCATTTGAGGCAGCCCTGTTTTCGTGTTCAAGCATTTCAGTGCACGTCTCACTTTCACTCTGAAGAACTGGGGTAATGTCATCTTCGGCCACTAGCACGCTTGCTGCATTTGTGCCAACATTTTCTACACAAAGCTTCAAATCAAGCTCAGCGCAATTAGCAAAATGCCGCGGTACCGCACCTTTCTTCAGTTCCCAGCGTCCTCGCGGAATCGAGACTGTTTCGCCATTCACAACATGCTGGAAGGAGGTGCAAATGTCCGCTTCATCAAAGTGACGATCACATATGTATGATCTTTGAGTAACTTCGAAGTTTGCACGGCCTGCCGCATTGTTCCACTCCCTCAGCACATTGGGGTCTTTCGGTGGCTTGAAAAAGTGTCGCTGCACGAAGGGCACTTCATTTGACGTTGCCGATGAATATCCACTTCGACAGCCTGGCACAGCACACCTCGGCATGCCGACCGTTCTCCCGAAGGGAGCAAAATTCAACCGCGAACAATTGCTTGCTCAGAGTCACCGTCCGCTTTCTCTCCAGAAAGCAGAACAGCGTAAACATTATCGTCTGCTCTGTCATGGTTGAAATTTAATGCATAAGGTCTGTTACGAAACAACGAGCCAGCCTTTTTTTTATATTTAGGTTACTTAACGTTACTTAATTTAGGTTACTTAACCATTATTACCAGCAGGGAAAAAATCGTCTGCAAGCGCAGGCCCTGCTAGCCGCGTCGCTGCTCCGTCTGCTCCGCGCGATGCCGGCTGCGCGGCGGAGAGGTCACGTGACGTGGTCGCAAAGCGATGCCAGCGACACCTGGAATGGGCGACGATTTGCGGCCGCCTCCTCGCGCGAGTTTTCCAACTGTCCTCATCCAGTAACGTTGTTCCGGGTGGCCAGGCTGGCTGGGCATTAAGCAGAGCCGCATTGGCGTATCCCGTATGTTGAAATATAACATACGGAGATATATTCAAGTAAAGACGAAAGAAAGAGATTGAAGTTGAAAATAAACGCGAAGGTAGGCGCAGTGTGCGCACCACAACGAAAATGTAGTACAGAAAGCGTTTTTTTTTTTTTTGCTTTGCGAGAACTGTAAAGACGCTTCCCGCGCTCTACGTTGAACGGAGAATGAACCTTCCTCCGTGACGTGCCAACCATTGTATCACATTACTAAAGTTATGCGTGGCGTGTACGAGCTTACTTGCTTTAGAAGTGAAGCCACGATGTAGGACTTCAAAAAAAAAAAAAAAAAAAAAACAAGAACGGAGCAGCCGCACGGAGAACCCCGCCTTTTCCGCGGAGCTTTTTGCTGAAGGCAGTCATCCTCGTTACACCCCCTCTCTCCCTCTGCTGCGTTGCGACAGCACAAAAAGTGCGGTGCAGTCTGGGATGGTAATGGAGGGCGCGTGATTTTGAAGCTTGCAAGATGCTTTCCCAAGAGTCAGGTAAACTGCGATCACTCCATTACTAAGTGTGTTTGTCGTTCGTTAGAGTGCACCAGCGTCTAGGAACGTATTTGCAGATTAAATTCAGGCTGTGATGTCTGCAGATACGTCAATTATGCGGAGCCAAGGAGTGCCGAGTTGTGCGTGTCCGTCCCTGCGTAAATACAAGCCAACTTTTTGTTTGTTTCATAAAAGAAAGCGACGCTTGTGTAATGTAAAAGTTTATTCCTGATCTAGTCGATTGTCGTGTTTGTGCTAGAAAAATTTCTATGGGTGATGACTAGTATTATTAAAAGATGTGTTTCGCAGTTTCAAATTTCCCTGTCTTGTAGTCCGCAAATGGCGCGTCATTCAAGAATTACTAGCGCTTTGCGTCTTCGTGGCATTCGACCGCGGAATTGCATATGTCGTAGTTATTGTGTGAAATAAAGTGCTTCCGCTGTGTGGTTAATTAAGCATAAGGCTGCGGCTGCACTTTGAGTATTTGCATAACCGATGCTCGCTTCAGTTTGGCTTTTTTCCTCTGGTGTAGCGAAATTGGGCGAAGCTAGGCCGAGGTCATCGCTGGCTTCGCTATTAGGCCTAGGTGTTGTTTTCTGCTGAAAACGCAGCGTGCTGAATTCGGACAGCTGTTTTGGTCGGATTCGCCTGTAAGGGAATGTTTATTAACCCGACTATGGGGAAGTAGAGGCGTCGCAGGTGGAACTAAATTATTACGTATTTAGGGGCCGTACAGTGTCGCTGTGTCGTACGGTGCGGTCCGTGCGTGCGACCATATGGTGCGACTAAATGGGGGTTATGCAAGTTTAAGTCGTTCTGTTTAGGCGAGGATTTTCGTAGCTGTGCATGTGAAATTTCGCTTTATAATATTGCATGAAAAAAAAACTTACGTCAATTTTATTGCTTGTTAGTTTCTCAAAAAGCCCACCCCGTTTCACGTTTTCAGTGCGAGATGAGCGCTGGCGTCGCCGCGAACTAGGAAGATGGGTACGGTGCCGATCGCTTTGCGAACTTCCTGATATCTGTGTAATGCAGTTACCGGACGTTTAAATACGTCCTTCCCTTACATCCGCGGCCGTGATTAAAAGCTGCGACAGATACGACTAGTTGTCGCAGGGAAGCTGACCTGCTCTGCTAATCGTGGTAGCTGGTCGGCACCTCCCGCGAGCGAGTTGTGGTGGTTACAGCTCAATCCCTGCCATGCAGTCGCGCGCGCGTGTCGCCTCGCCTGCGTGTTTTGACGCATAAGTGGGGCCTAGTCTGTTCGTGAAACACCTTCGCGGCCACACGGTCCCTCCTCGCTTCCCTTGTGTGCGCGATCTGCCCGCGCTCATCGTTCTCGGCAGTGAGCCTTGTTTGTTGTTGTTTTTTATCTTGCTGGAGAATTTCTTCGTGAGTGGCAGAGATTTTTCTAGGTACTGTTAGTGGTCACAAGGTTGCAAGCGTTGTACCCCCAAAAAACTTCCGGTCACCTCATTTATCAGCTCCTAACGTCGAAACTGAAAACACAAGTTCTTTTTAAGGCTAACAAAAGTCGCTCTTTCGTTTTTCATATAAAAGGAATGTGCGTCAAATACAAGGGGATGTTTTACAAATTGTTATGCAGATCAAAATAACATTTGTTTGAATATATTTTGCGAAATAAGGGAAGGAAACTAGAAAATCAGCGGGCTATTTTCTTGAACTCTTATTGTCCACCAATGCTATTAAGTCACATCGTTGGACAAACCGGATGTCATCAAGGGCCTGTGTCTGTAAACATTGAAAGGGTCTGTATACGTCTTGTGGCATTTGATGTACTCTGGCGTCTCGTTTGCATGGCAGCTATTTGACACTGAAATCGCCCTTTATGCTTGGGTGCTGCTGAAGTCTACTGACAAGAAAGAAGTACATCTTGTTGTCTACGCATTTAATTTAGCGTAGTGTATGTCGGTTTAAAGTGCGATGGTGCTAAGTGTTGTGAGGACGGAGTTGGCGACCTATGCATTGTTATGATCTTTGCCTGCCGTCTTGATTCTGATTTCGCCTGTAATGGATGTTATATAAGCGCAGTACAAAAACTACTGGTGCCATAAACGCTTGGCCTGAAACTAATAAATATGTAACTGTGCACAAGAGTTTTAATGTTCCCCCACATGTTATGCGGAATGAATTAGACTGTAGTGATTTGTGCAAGAACAGTTGGCAGTGCATGCTCATACCTATAAGTGTACTTGCTTCTTACTAAAATACCGAACCATAAATATGTAGCACAAAGGCAGTTTTTCTGTAAATATCTTGTGTCCATTAATTGTTGGAAGTGAAATATTGGTCCTCTTAATCAGTAGCCTTCAACTTTGTTCTCCACCTTTAAGCATTTAAGGCCTTGCCTTTTGCTTTTGTGCATAGATATCTTTTGATATGAGCACTTTGCCTAAATGTAAGGCTTAATTTTCGGGTGTGTTCATTTAACCATTTAGATTGTATACTATTTATGCTTGTTTGCATAGTTAAGATCATGGAAACTAGTCTGTAGGTAGAACATGTAATCTCTTCATTACTGCCCATAAAGCTTTCAGAAGCTTCATGGTATGTTGTGATTGCTGTGAATGATAGTTAGTGAGAACAGAAACTTGTACAGCAGCTTCTTCGAAAGCCTACTTATCCTAGATAGCCATTCCGTAAAACACTGAAAGAAGACAGCAGTGCTCCTTGATGTTGTTAATCTATTAACCTCTTCCTCTGATTAAAGCCTTCATAAGTGCCAGGCTAGCTCCACTTGGCCTGAAGGATGTAGTGCCAAAAATTAATGATGCATGTATGAGAGCAAGTGTGACAAGGTGAAGCAGGTAGATTACATACAGCTTTTAGTTGTAAGTGCCTTTCTTGTTCTTTGTTGCGTTTGTGTTATTCAAGAATGAATCACTACTAACCAGCTCGTCTTTCCGTGTAGGTTCGTTCACATCACTCTTGATATTTTCGATGCTGTGCTATTGCATATTATTTTGTAAAGGTGAAGAATTTACACTGTTTGTGACTCAAGGAACTTTCACTCACTGAAGTAGCTGTAGTATTTTTAACCTTGGGTTTGCGTTTTGAAAGCGTTTATGCAACTGTGTCATTGTGTGTTGGGCTTGCTGGAACAAGTTGATCAGAAATTTGCAGCATAAATACGAAGAATAGAGATTATGGGACTGTCCTTATTCTGTAAGCTCCATTCTTCTGTCTTGTTTCAATCTAGAAGGATTTTCAATTATAACTTTTAATAACAGCAAACATGAGCATAATTATGCTCATGTTTGGCTGGCATTCCACTATCGAGAAGCGATGCAGCATTCAAGATCCACTTTTTTGCACACCGGTTTTCTGCATACCCACCTATGCCGTTTAGATCCGTCACTTCAACTCCGAATACCATCCGGACTATCTCGATCCGAAACAACCGTCCTCTGCCCCGCTTGTGGCTTGGAGCGTCATTCACGAACAGTTTTGCTTACCGAATCAGGATGACTGACAGTGCTACATGTGATCGTTGTGGCAGTGAGGAAACCATTGCCCACGTCCTTTAGGATTGTCCTCATTATACCAGCAAAAGACAACAGCTTTCGGCAACGTTAGTGCAGCTCGACGACCAGCCGCTTTTGGAACAGTCAATTTTGGATTGCCGGGACGTTCGACCTTCAAGCCAGAAAGCGACGAAGGCGCTGCTGAAGTTTTTGCGGTCAACCGGACTCGCTAAACAACTGACATACCCGTGCTTGAGTGTGTGCGCGCTTTCTTTTTCTTTTTTCTTTAACCACCCCTTTCTCTCCTTTTTCCCACCTTACCTTTTCATGCCCATTTGCCTACCCCAGTGCAGGGTAGCAAACTGGAAATTTTCTTCTGATTTTGCTGAGGGCTTGTTCAGCATGTTTCTACCTATTGTTAAGCGATGTTATATTAATATCAAAATCCTTACCATATGTTAGGATATTTCAGCATCACATAGTGAATAATGTTTGAGGCTTGATAGGGTTTTGTACACGTTTTCAAGTGCTGATAAAGTAAAAAAGTAACAAGTGCTCATATATGCAGGTAGCTATATTTTACCTCATGATTTTTTCTTTCAGCAGAAAAAGAACAAGAATCAAGGACACCTGCTGAGGCTAGCACGATGCCTGCAGCTCCAGGTGCTGTTGATGCTGGCCTTGGCAAGGTATTAGAGGGTGCAGCTGAATCTGACACTCCAGGACTTGAGCTATGTGCAGTAAGCGCTGATGTGCCTGACAGTGTTGAGACAGTTGTGGTGAACACTTCAAACGGCACTGCTCAGCCTGCTAATGTTGTAAGCACTGTGCTTGAAAGTGGTTCTGATGCTGGGACTGCGCTTGCCAGTAGTGACAATGCCTTAGGCCTTCGAGATGCTGCTGCTGCAGCTGCACTCTCATCTGTGGTTAACAGCGAGCCTGCTGCCATGGAAACTGTTGTCTCTACGGAGGCCTTGCCCGATGTCACGGTGCCTTCTACGTCTGGTGTGTCATCGAGTGTGTCAAACCGCTGTGATGCGCGCATAGTTCACTTTAATGACCGGGATCTGGAGAGCCTGCGCAAAATTCAGGATGAGCTGAACACACGCAAGTCTGGTGGGGTGTCACGCAGTCCTGGCAGCCCCATTGTGATCCGAGCTGAGCTGGCCAGTCCACAGAAAGGGGTGTCAGCACAGGTGCCTCAAGTTCTTGTGGTGCAGAAGCCGTCGCCAGGATGCTCTACCAAAAAGGCTGATATCCGGGTCATCCACCCCCCAGGTGTTACTGTGCGCAGGTGGGGACAGCTACACAGGAATAGCTCAATCTTTGCATGCTTGTGACCTCTGCTGCATGATGCTAGTAGCCCTTTCAGCTTGGCTGACATTTAGTGTGACATGCGAGCTGAGTCATGCCACTTGGCAGGTTTTACTTCCAGCTCTGTCCAAGCCTCTTTGTGGAGTTCCCAGTTTTAGAGCTGCTTAGGGAATCAAGCTTCACAGAGTCTTTGAGAGTCTTAAAAATGATGCATTTGAGCTATAGTTTGATTTTCTGTAGCTTCATTTGTATAAAATGTGGATTTTTGTGGTAATGTTTCCAAAAGGATCTCGTGCAGTTGTTGGGTTTGAAGCATCGCTTATAACCATTGGCTCTACGTCCACAATAACATGCACAGAATCACTTTTCAGGTCATTTTTACTGATTCTTTGTATTACTTGCCATAGGTTGACTTACTAATATGCATTTAAAATGTATGTGAGTGCCAGAGTGAAGGACGAACGGTCTAAGTTGACGCGAGTTAGGGTGGTTGGGAGTGGGCATCAAACAATCAGCTTGAGTGCCATTGAATGATAGTTGTGAGTATGAATATGCCTGAGTACTTGTGAGTCAAGTTGATTGCAAGTAGATGTGACCATGAGCACAAAGTGCTGGTGAGTGTGAGTAGTCATGAGTGTGAATGTGAGCAAGTTTAAAGGCTGCAAAATATTATGTTGATATATTGCAGTCATGCGTATGTTACCAGTAAAAAGTAACAGTGTTGTAGTTACCCAGGTTTCAAAAGTATCTTGTTACAGTTACAGGTACCGTGAAAAAGTTACATTGTTACTTTTCCATTACCGTGTAAAGTAAGGCATGGATTACATTCCAAATGATGGCATCAGTTTAATAAAAAAGTAGAAAGAGGTATGGAAAGAGCTTAATGAGGAAACATGAGACCCGTTGACCATTGACGTTTATTCTCTATGTTTCTCAAGGTGCACCAGACATGTTCGAAGAGTTTTTCATCGGGTAAGCATACAAACCGTTTGGACACGTGTTGGTGAAATCCTGCATATGATCAGTGCAGGGTCATCTCTGAGTACAGTGCGGGGATAGTGAAAGGACATACACTATCACATTGGCGAAACGGGAGCAAAGGATCAGGAAGGGGTGAGGAAGGGAGGGGGCGGCGGGGTGTTGAGTATTTTTTGTGTATGTTTGTTTGTGCTTTTGTACGTGTGCGTGTATATACACGCAAGCAAAATTGAAAAATTTCAGGGAAGCTTCGAACCCCCAACACCTTGCTATGCCCACGTTAGATGGAGCTTGTTAGAAACTGTTGGTCAGGCCGTAGCTTTGACCTAAATAATGCGACGACGCTGAAAAAAAAAAAAAGAAGCGATAGTGGTGAAAGGAAGCGATAGTGGTGGGGGGGGGGGGGGCACTTTTGAAAATATTTAAAACGTCATAGATCTACGACTGCTGGGCTGATTGACATCCACTCACATTTTATTTTTCGTTGCCACTGAACACTGAGAATGCCTCCTGCATAGAACGTGAAACATTTTTCATATTGTAAGTAATTGTTATGTCAAGTCAAAGCAGACCTATGAGAATCAGTTACACAGAAGTTTAAAAAAAAAATGCTTATCCAGTTCACGCCCTTTTGCCTTTCAGCTGTCTCGCATTGCTGTTTCCTAGCCACCTCTTAAACATGATTTGCTAAGAGCCTTGGATGAAGTAATGCACCTTTGGCACACCAAGAACAGAGCTAAAATCTAAGGGACAAAATATATATATATTTGTGCCCACCCCCCCTTAAAGAAAGGAGGGGTGGAAGTGAGCTGATGAAGCTGTTCAGTTGCCACATGATTGATTTACAGCATGTAGTTTACAAGCAAACCCCAATTACGGTCATCTGAATCATGTTCTAAACTACAAAGGAAGCCTTATTGTGGACAGTTGAAAGGAGTAGAAAGCATGGTAAAGAAAAGTTCGAATAATTGAAAAGGGTTTAACATAGGACTTTAACGAGTATTTCAGTTGGAATTTTTTTTTTTATAATAAAAACAAAAGTAAGTAAAGCCATTTTTCATTACAGTTAACTGTGTAAATAAAGTAACAGTATTACAGTTACTTGTTCCTCTAACTTAAAAGTAACTGTTTACAATTACACGTTACTGAAAAAAGTAAGAAGTTACTGGGAGGGTAATGCTTTACTAGTTACTGCCTAAGACTGAGATATTGTAAGTGGACATTTGTTTATAGTGCCAACTGAAGCTATTTGCACTTTTTTCCTTGCTTTTCTCTTACACGGTTAACAGATTTAATTATGGCAGTTGTAAATGTGAATTCAGTAAAGAATCCAATAAGCTAAAAAAAAAATCTGAATGCCACAGAGTGTCTGTTGTGCAACTGTAGTGGCACATGTGTAGAAGTACGAGAAATCTTGTGTGTTGGCTTGTTAGAACGATTTGCCGTGAGTTTACATTTTAAAATATGGTGTAGCTCACTTGTGGCACTAAAAATAATTTTGCTGCAGTGCTTGTAAAAGAACTAGGGAATCCAGCATGGTCATTTCACATGTTAGGACAAAATCCTTGAGTAGCCTTGAGTGTCATCGCGGATGCTGGACAAACTAATATGGCCAAATAAAAACCAAATAGAGATCAGGATTCAAACTGGAATGAAACCCATGGCAGTCAACTGCTCCACCACTGAGCCTCATCAGTGCTGGAAACTGCTTTGCGAGGGACCCGATACAGGGGTCATGTTGAGCGAGGAGTGACGTTAATCAGAGCCGTAACCAGGGAGAAGATGAGGCGGTTCTGACACCCCCCAAAATTTTTTCAGCTTTACCCTTTCGAGTGACACTGAAGTATTTACATGCTGTCACATTAGCAAAAGTTAGCCATTCTACAGATAAGCACCCCCTTTAAAAAATGCCTGAGCATGGCCCCGATCTCAATAGACATGGTATTGCGTTGCAGGATCCTAGAATTGCACTATGCGTCACAACACGAGAATTGCGTTATGAGTAAGGGGGGTAAAGCTTCTCGCCAAATTACAAAGGGCTCAGCAATAATTCATTATCACCAGAATGATAACGTAGGTGCATATATTGCCTTACAGATGTGTTGTGTGTACTTCAGGAAAGATTGTGCACATTTAAAAATGGTGCACAGAGAAGTGCTTACACATGGTATTCAAAGGGTCTCGATTTAATGCAAAACATATTTCTTCTTGCATGCAGCTTATTTTTGCTACATGAGGGTAGCCATAAATGGTAGAAATGGAAAGATGGAAGCTTGCGATGAAAAATATGTAAATAGAGTTTGTGTTGGGCCGGTGTTTCGACACAACCCCTGCTTACGGATTTTTTATTATGAGTGTAGAGTAACACATGTTTAATAAGACTCATTTTTCGGCTAGTTGGTGCATTGCATCAGAAAAAGATATATCCAGCCAATAACGCGTGGGTTGCCGGTGTCGACAAAAGTCCCGTGAGCAGATGCTTTAGGGCGCTGATTGATAGACTGAATATCGCCGGCTTTCCCAGATCCATTTTGTCTGCTGTAGCTGGATCTTTGCTACAAAAAATGAAAGTGTAGTGGTGAATTCGCAAGGCAATGACTAATGGGACCATCCCTGAGTGCGAAGCGGTAGTGTGTGCACGAGCTGTAGACGCTAGACTGCTCGAGCATTTGTTTCCGTACCGGCTGTCTGCCTACTACCTGGCGTCGCTATTAAACTCTCTTGCAAAAGGAAAAAAGAAAAACACACAGACCTGGCCAGAGCAGAGGAGACCACAAGTGGTACCCTACACGCGCTGTGTTGCGCTTGGCCTGAAAAAAGCTGCCTTCAGGCATGGTGTGCCCGTGGTGTTTCCCGCACTAAGGAAACTGGGTGGTTTATGCGCACGCATCGGAAAAAAGAAGCCACAGTGTGAGGCGAAACATGGGCAAACGTTTGAAAGCCGTTATTGGTCTGGTGTATGATATTCCACTGACTTGTGGAATGGTGTATATAGGCCAAACAGGTCGTTGTGTGAATATTAGAGCCTGGGAACATTTTAAATCGTTAGAGAAAGGAACAGGCTCCAATTTAGCCCTTCATTGTACACAATGCAAATGTAAGCCAGGGCTGAACAAAATCAGGATTTCAGGCAGAAGTCATAAAAAATGGCACGTGAAATATTTGAATCTTTTCACATTACAAAAAATGGCGAGGCATGTTGTAGTGATAGCTCTGTGGTGTTTCACAGACAGGAAAAAGATTTTCTACAATTTTTCCAGTAATCTTGAGTGATTAGTATGGCAAAGAATGTATACAGTGATTGAGTGATTAGTATGGCAAAGAATGTATACAGTGATTTTACGTCAGTTTATCGTATTATGCAATTTCTGTTAAGAGTTATTGCATGACTATGTGACTGCATGAGTACATATACTTCAGCCTCGCGTATGTGAATAAATAGTTGGTAGTCTAACTGCTATCCTGTCTCGTTCTTCGTTTCCTGTGTTTGTTGTTTTATTGGCTGGATATATTTTTTAGGAAACACATGCTCAATTTTATTTTATTTGCATTTCAGTTTTGTTGTGTCCGCTTAAATGGGTAATAAAGAGAAAAACGACTTTTCAAGTATTGGTAAAGTACAATTTTTTGGTCGTAAAAACACCACTCTTACTGCGAGACGACACTTAGTAAGCGAGAAAACATGTGAAAAGAAAATGTGGGTGGAGATGCCACCTTGAGATTCCCGCACCACACCCTTGACATTATAGATTTTGATAGGGTCTACTAGGTCCTCCTTAGTTTCTTATTGCTAAAAATGACGTACATTATCATCTGTTGGTGCTATAGACGTAACATGAAGTTTCAGGAAACTTTCGTGCGGGTGGGGTGGTCGACCTTCCTGCCTTTCATTTCTTTCCTTCCTCCTCTTCCACCTCCTTCAGGAAATTTCATGGAGCCCATGTTACGAAAATACAAAAAAAATCATTTTGAAATTAGTGACGTCACGTGTGGACGTTCCGGCGTAAAGTTCAAAATGAAACTTCAGCGTTGATTTTTCTTGCTTATAACGAACTTATTGTAGCAAAAATTGTGGCATTAGAGTTCCCAGAGTACAGTTTATCAATCTAAACCAAGTCATTGTTTCACTTTAGTGTCCCTTTAATGCCCAGGAGAATAGTTATAAGTTCACCTACATTGAATGGTATGATACACAGCTTGAAACGATGAATATTTGTGGTTTTTCAAATATTCACACAGTCCACTGAAGTCACTTATTTCATGCAAAAAGATGTCACAGCCTTATATTCAGCTTCTGCTGCTACTGAAGGTGATCGGCAATTGCTCGTAGCACACAAAATATTAACAACTTGAAGAACTAAGCAAGGAGGGGGACACTGTATTAGAGAAGAGGTAGGTTGCATTTACTCATCAAGAGTTACAATTACTGACGTTTATGAGAGCATTCTTGAGTTATCTTTTCCATGTTGTACAGCCACCTGCACAGCTTGCGAATTTGTTTTAGCTGCTAGTAAAGGCTTAGTTGAAGTTTAGCATCATGTCCTGTCTGTTGTTCTTTAGTTTTTTTCACTAATTAGTTATGTCTGCAGTTTTTTTATTTGGAAGAATATTTACAGCACCATCTTAGTCATTATTGCATCTTAGGCATTAGTCTTGCGGCCAACTAAATCAGCTGGTAACATATTCCATTCGACAATGGCTTGTGGAAAAAAAGAATGCTTAAAAAGATTCGTTCTGGGGTTGTATGGCCGTACTTTAAATTTGTGGTTATGATGAGAGGAATGATGATGCGCTGGTTTCAAATATTCTGAAAGATTAATGCCTGTTTTCTTGTTATAGATTGAATAAAATAGTTTCAGTGTTAGATTACGTCTTCAATTTTGTAAATTTTGCCAATTAAGTTCTGTTTTCATACATTGAGAACTTTCAGTTCAATCATATTTTCCCAGAACAAATCTTGCTGCTATCGACTAAATGCGCTCTAGTGCATGAATGTGTACTTTGTGAAACGGATCCCACACAGGAGAGGCGTATTCCAGTATTGGTCTGACATAGGCATAATATGTGGCCTGTTTAACCTCCTTGGTTACATGTTTAAGATTTTTTTTTAAAAAGCCTAGGGTTTTCCAGCTCTGCTGAGAACACTGGCAATGTGTTCAGACCATCCCCCATCCTCAGAAAACGTGACACCCAAGTACTTGTATTTGTTTTCTTTCCTAATAACTTCATTGTTTAAGATGTACTGATTTGTAAACCTATTGACCCTTTTGGTGAAACTGACGTGAACGCATTTATTAGTATTTAGTACCATATCATTATTTTTACTCCATACCTCCACGTGATTAAGGTCATCCTGAAGCTGGATGGAATCCGTTTGGTCGGTCAGTTCAGTATACGTCACACAGTCGTCAGCAAACATTCTAATACGACTCTTAATTGTATCCGAAATGTCATTAATAAACACAAGAAAGACAAGTGGGCCGAGTGCGGAACCCTGAGGTACCCCTGATGTCACCGAAACTAAACATGAACCTGATCCACCTAGAACAACCTTCTGTTTTCTTGAAGGTAAATAGTCCGCAATGCATCAGCAAATGGTTTGATGAATGTTCAAGTTCTGCAGTTTTTGAATCAGAATCGAGTGTGATACCGTCTCGAATGCCTTTCTGAAGTCCAAAAATAAACAATCAATCTGTCCTCGATTACCTAAACTGAAGCTATATCATGATAGAATTCAATGAATTGGGTTGTACATGAAAAACCTTGTCTAAATCCGTGTTGTTTAGGATTAAAAAAATTAATTGAAGTCAGGTGATTTATTAAAGCAGAAAAAAAGAACATGTTCAAGTACTTTACAATAAATTGGCGTCAAAGAAATTGGTCTGTAATTTGATACATGTGATTTAGAACCACTTTTGAATATGGGCACAACGTTAGCTATTTTCCATTCATTAGGAAGCTTGCCTTCACTGAGTGATTTTTTGTAGGTAACATAGAAATAACAAGCCACTGCCTCAGAGCAGTGTTTTAAAACTCTTGGTGATATGCCATCTGGGCCAGTTGCTTTACTTTCGTCAATGCGTTGTAACAGCTTCACTATGCCATTCATTAAGAGGACATGCACAGCGTTTGTCTGTGCCTTCTCGCTTTGTCCCTCATTTATATATTTTCACGCTGTTAATGTCTTGCTCAATTCAGTACCAACTAGCCTAAATATTCACTTTACTAAGAGACTCATAATCCGATAGGTTAAATACAAAGTATTGGATGCAGTGCCTCTGGCCCAGGGTTCTGGTACTGTAGATGATAAGTTTTTGGAACAGTGTCTATGATACCGAACAGCTGGGTGGAAGTGTGCCTGGTGTGGGCACATTTTAATCTCGTGAATGTTTTGTGTGTGTGTGTGTGTGTTTATTCAGCGGCATAAAACATAAATGTCATGGCAAGTGACAATTGTGGCCAACAAATGCATGGCAGTAGTGATGGCATGGCAGTGACAATAAATTGTTGGCTTGACCCAGCACTGCCGTAGATGTGTTGAGAGTGGTGCCATCTCTTGTAACATGTCACAAAGGTGGTGCATGCGGTGACAGTGGGTGGGCAAAGTAAAGTATGGGAAAACACGTATGCACATGGGCTATGCACCACGGCAAAATGTAAGGTCATAAACCGCCGCGTGAGCCGCCGCTTGAGTGCCTTAAAGACGCCGCTGCAACGTCACCACAGTTCCCCTTGAGTAAAGAACCAAGAGGGTTCTGAAACGTCATGTTTTTAGGGGTTTTCATGTACTTTACTTTGGTTGGAGTTCAGTTTTTTCTCAGTTTACCTATCCAACTAGACAGAATGCTGTCTTATATTTCCATTCAAGCTGTGCACAGATTATTTTAGGTTGCTTTGGAGGACGTGCACCCTGTGGTGTGCAAAATCTTATTTGCATTAGAAACGCCTAGCTTTTCTGTGATGACTTGTAACTTCAAGGAATCAGTCTAGGAGCATGTAGCAGGGTGGCATTTTGGAGCAATCAATCTCTGCTACACAATTGGTTACGAGATTTTCTGCACATGGATACAGAACATGTTACTCTCTATGGCTGACAACAGTTGATCGGCTACACACACTAGACATCTTTTAGGCTTGGCATTTTCACCCGAAGCCAGGGAGACCATTGGCTTATATTTAATGCGCGATCTCACAAAACTGTTGGTATTCATGTAGATGACTGCCCAAGAACACTGTCCCTTTTGCGGTTATTCTTTTGCTGATTACTGAAAATGCTCCTCTGAACTTTTTGTCTAGGCAGACTTGCCAAAAGCATGCCTGCAAGAATAGGAATGAGTGTTATCATACTTAATCTAAGTGAAGCCATTCCAACTGCTGAAGCTGTTCTAGAGCTTTTGATGTAGAAATAAGTGTAGTAAATTCACAGTATTTTGGAAAGAAACAGTCGAGTTGGATTAATTGGTAATTGCTTAGTCCAGCAAACTGCATTGAAGCTGGGCATAAGCATAGAAAAAGGCTAGAAGGGCTTGTATTTAAACTATGATAAACGAATTAATTGTAGGTGTCACAGACATTCCTTTGTCTTTTAGGAGTCCACAAGTAGCAGTAAAAAATTGTGTGCAGTGCAAGGTGCTTCTTTGTCTTAGCTTTTACTTGGCCAAAATATTAGCATCGTGATTTGCAACCAGCAGCAATTTCTGCTGTTTGCTGGCTTAAATGTTGAGCTTCTCTATTTTAAACATTAGGCATACTTGACAAGTATTGGAGCATGCAGTGCCTGAGCGAAAGAATCCTTATACTAGAGCCAGTGTTTCAACAAGCAAACTTTTCTTCGTTGGGCTGTAGAAAAGCCTACCATTCTTAGTGGGTACTAGTTGAGACAAGTCTCTTTCCTTAATCTAGTCTTGGCCACCTACTTTTGGTCACTGAACCATTTGTCTCGCATGGATAACGAGTGTTGTAATCCTTGAATTGTGCAGCATGGTTAGCGTGTATCATTCAGTATTACAAGTTGACACTTTGGAGTTCATATAGCCTTCTAGTTTTGTTGAATTATTTTTGGGCTCTGTAGTGCGTATTGTGACATGCTTCAATGCACGTGCACACGCATACACTTTGTGCTGTTCTCATCCTCCTGCAAACAGGTGAGATTTGTTGATAACAAAGTTGTGTTCTAACTCTGTCAATCTTTTCATTTGAGGTATGGGTTTGGTTCATAGCCAAGGCAGTTGCATTTCAAGTGAAGTGTGGAGAAATGCACAGTCTCTTGGATTGAGGTGAACATCTACTACTGAGGGAGGATACAAACTTCTCCTATTACCTTATCCTTTGCAGCCAATATTAAAGATTACAGAAAATGCTGAATTCTGTGCCTTGATTTTAGAAGGCAGTGATAAAGAACCGCAGGAAGTCAAAACTAATATGAGTGCCTGTGGCATTCCTCAAAGCCCATTGCTCAGTTTTAGGATACTAAACTTTATACTCTATCAAGTCATGCTGCTACTGCTGGAATCATGTCTTATAGTTTCTTGGCTTGGGTTTTGTGACTACGGTGCGTGTGCTTTCAAGTGGCTCCTCAGCAGTGCCAGTTTAAATGCCATCTTGCATTTTGTCTCTGCAGACAACTGCAGATGAGTGTGCCAGTATCCTCAGGTGCCAGTACTGCTACGACTACGGGCTTGACAAAGGTGATCCTGCAGCCAGGCCAGCTTGTGAGTGGTGCCAAGTGCACGTTTGAGATCATGTCCTGCATTCACTACAGTGCACATGTTGCCTCTTTCGATATCTGTGGATGGTTTGCGTTAATGTAATTGGGACAGTGAGAGAATTAAATTTTATACGTGACAAGGTGTGCATTCTCTTTGCCGAGAAGTGGATGACTTCGTCATTTCAGGTAGCCATAGCTAGCTGCCGACACCTAAGCCCACCTGCTGGAGCTGGTCCTCAGGGTTTGCCGACGTCTGCAACGCCTCCCACTGGTCTTTTGGATTTTCCTGTATGCTCTGTTCGTCCATGGGCGGGACACTAGGGTGGTTTTGACAGCTCCACACCATGTAGTACAGGGTGGTTGCAGAGTCTGGGCAGTACTGACAGTGTACCGTGCGGATAGGTGCCTGCCTGTAGCCTTCTCCAGGTCACCGCTTGCTCTCTACTCAGCCTTTTGTTAGCAGGGGGATAGTGGCGTTGTTGCTTGTGGTAGTGCACAAATATGTCTAAGTTTTTCTCCGTATTGGTTCTTTTGCGTTTCCGGAGTCCGAGTATCGCTACGGAGAAGCCCGGTGTATATGCCCTCGAGCTGCGACATGCGCTGCTTGATTTCCCGCTAGGTATTCGTGCCCCTGTGTCCAGAAGATTCTTGCGTCTTCGAAGTCGCACTTTAGAAGGATTTGAAGGGCTGATTTGCCAGTTGATTCCTTTTGAAACCTGTGACATGCTTCTTGTGAATCCGTCACGATTGTTACCGACGAAGAACTTCAACTGATTGCTAACACAATGCCCAGTTTCTCTGGGATGGTTGCCTCATTGGCACATGTCGAAGCGGCAGCAAGCTCTCTACCCTTTTCATTCACAATGCAGGCTACATATTCGTTTGCCCCTCGACATTTAGCGGCATCTGTGTATGGTATGCTATCACTGTTGCTGTAGCTCACGAGCCTCTGCTGTAACAGCTCTGCTCGTGCATGTTTTCGTCCTTTGTCATGTTCCAGGTGCATGTTTCTTGGTATTTGACACGGAAATATTTTATCCTTAATTTCATGAAGAATGGACTGGCACAGGTAGGGCCTCATTTTCGACTGCATAGCCAAGGTTTTTTAAAAGCGCTTGTTCCGTTTTTGTAAGTTTCAATCTTTCTAGTTGGTTCACCGTTTAGGCATTAAATAACTTTCCCCAGGTATTATGAACCTCCATCTTGAGGAGCTTTGTCATAGACGTGGTGGATGAAAGTTCCATGGCAATTTTATAAGCTTTGTGGATGAGGATGTTCACCTTGTTATGCTGACCATTCTTCATGTCCATGCAAGGGGTCCCGTATGTTATGGTGCTTGTAAGTAATACTTGAGGTATAGTTATGCAGTCCTGCTCTTTGAGTCTATGGCGTTTGCTTGCAACTCGCGTGATAGGATGCGGTACTTGCTGAACTGTTCGTTGTAGCTTTTCTAGCTCCACTTTACAGGCTCCATATTTTTGAATAAAAGGTCCGAGAATGCATAGTGTAGAGACTTTGGGAATACTGATTTCTCCAAGAGTCACTCCAAGATCCAGAATTTTCTTGTGGTGGGCGGTCTTGCATGCGTTTCCGTAAAATCTGGAGTTCTGATTTCTCTGGTGTGCACAAGAGACCACATGTTGCAAGGTATTTTTCAGTGATTTTCACCGCTTCTTGCAGCTGATCCTGTTGGGTTCTGGCAGGTCCACCTGTGGTCCAGCTACTATTAGTTCTGACTTGGTGAGAACTGTGTAAATGATGAGAAATTCAGAAGCATGACAGGAGGCATTCCTAGTGAAGCACCATCATCAAGCAGTCAGGCTGTTGTATTAATGACCATCTGCAGGACCAGATGGTCATTGCGTTTGTTCACCGTATGTCACATCAACTCACCCAGAAAGTAAATATCACTTTGGAGTGCTGAGTGCTTCACTACTCTAGATAGGTTAGAATTTATCATTTTCATAAGCATTTCACCCTTCATTGCATGTGTCCGTATTTGTAGAGCTAGGTGAGAAACGGCATTTGTTATGTGAAAATGGGAGATTTTTTACAGTGAGTAGCCTGTATACCGTGCTCTAGGTGATTTTACAGGGGTGATGCCATTAAATGCCATTGAATGCCGTTGAATGCATTAAATTGGAAATAAGGAGGCATCAGCTTCTACTGCAAGCGTGTCTAGCCCTGTTCCACAGAAAGTCCAGGAACTGCTTGTATTATTCATGTTAAATGTGGAAATACAAAATGAAAGTGTGTTCTGTAATGAATCACAGAACTGAATTGGACTTGAATCTTACCTAGCAAACAAGCATTGCTCAGACAACACTGAATGATGGGCACTGCCACAGGAGGAAACATGGCTCCCACCTAAGTGTATTATACTTTAAGAGGTATGTACACTTAAAGGGCCACTCACCAGGTTCGACAATTTTGAGCTGACAAGCGCATTGTGTAGATGAGGTGTTCACGATCACGTCTGCCAAAATTTGCAACGCTTCGCGCCGCGGAAATGGGTCAAATTTGAAGATGAACGCTGCTCCCCCTTCGTTTTGCGGGCGCGCGCCCAGAGAATGAGGGCATGGCATGCGCGTATGAATGACCCTACGTACACGGCAATGCAGTGATGTTGGTCGTCTACGTAGATGACTGTGCTCTGACGTTGCCAACAGCAGCACTTGACATGGCGAAAATTATTTAACACGACATGCGTAGTTTATGTATTTGTTGCTTGAAGAGATTAATAAATCTATAGGTAAATAATGAGACGCCATAAGGGAATATGAGCATTATTTTTTTTGCATTTTTTTTTCTTGTTAATTGCAGTGACATGCGGGGCTAATGTGCTGGCGTTTTGCATGCATTCGTGTCCCCGTGCTCAGCGCATCGAGCAGATGACAGCTGTGGAGCGCTTCTACGCGTTCACGCACTCATTGTGCTCATCTCCTCTTCTACCGCATCTAAGCCATCGTTTCCAAAGCATCCCGCAGAAACAGGCAGTAGACTTCAAAACAATGCTTGTAAAAAAAAAAAAAAAAATTCAGCATGTATGCACGGGGGTTGGGCTTGTTCAGGCACGTCATGAGCACGTGGCCTTTTTGTCGAATGTCTGAGAGGGTAGGGAAGAGAATTTGCTTGTGAATGCTACGCGGAGGAGCGGCAAGGGTTTCGAGCTCGCCTCCTCTCATCCTCGTTTGGCGCCGCTTCAAAAAAAAAAAAAAAAGTTTCATCAGCTCGTAATGAACTGGTTCAAAAAATGTTTGTGACAACATGTTCCTCATCGGACACCCAAGAACTTCCACGGTCTAACTAAAATTTGGTATGGGGCCTGGTGAGTGGCCCTTTAAATATGTGCATACAGTTTTAAGCAAGGGCAATCAATTTTTCAATAACTTGGTCCTGGAATAATCTGCCCTGGTAAATAGCAGCATTGTGGTATTTTTGAGGGTGTGGTTGTCTTGCGTGTTGCTTCGTAGCCTGTTGCCTCTGCTTGTTGTTGGGACTTTTGATGAAGGAGCGTAAGCTATCACTCTGCTATCACTTTCATTTCTTCAACTTTCTGTGAACTGCAGCACTCTGCTCAGCAGGTTAGATGAGCAGTGTTCAAGGAGAAAAAAAAGAATGGCCAGCTTACACCTTATTGTATGCAAATGGGGCTGCATTTGGCCATATGCACATTCACACACTTTCCTGCGCATGTGTTTGTTTATATGTGGATGTACCAACAACAAATTTTGCAAAAAAAGCTGCCTTCTTTGTAATTAACTCTGCATGTAGTACATCTTCTGAAGAAATTATCAGTAATTTTTGTATTCAGCCTTTCTTAGTACTAAGTAAATACTGATTAAGTACTAATTTTTATCTTATTAACCTTTTGAAGGTTAATTTATTCTGCGAATTGCATCACGAAAATGTGTACATTTCATTGCTGATATAAATTCTTTAGACAAATTTATCTAAAAGAAAATTGTCTACAATTTTTTTGAGCAGCCACAAGTGAAAAAAAGTAATTTGTATTGTTACATACGTATGGTTTATTCATGAGTAACAGCAAGATAAATTGTTTGACATAATAATAAAACCTATCTGACTGCTGAAAAAGTGTTCCTAGAAATAAATGCCAGTGTATTTCACAGAAATACAAAATAAGTGCATACAGTGGCATTAAGTGAAAACTCGAGGGACAGAAAAACCACGTTTAATCCAGATGGCATCATCTCGCTGCGCACACTTTTGAGATGTCACTCGCCCGTCACCATCAGAGTCTTGTCTTAAAAGTAGCACCTCGTATGACGGGGTGGCATTTACTGCATCAGATTCCAATTCGACATTCGACGGGCAATTCTTAGGAATCGCCACTTGACTCACTTGCGGCAGAGAAACCAGTGCGCACTTATATAGCAAAAGTAAACTGCACTGACGAAAGAAACTGTAGCTCTGAGCATGTCCGAAAAGCGAAAACAAGTCCAAAACCTATACTAATCCTCAGCCTTATTGCCAATAAGACGAAGCAGTTTATGAGTCCCTAAAATAGTGAACGCCACCACAAAGGCATCATTTGTGTCAGTCAGCGTCTTCACGAAAACAGGCGCAATTGCGTACCGGGGAGCAATAAACCAAAGGGTAACTAATAGGTCACCTCTTCAAAGATTCTAAACTGGAAAGCCATCAGTTCTGCGGGCGCAACAAAGGGAACTCTCTGAAAGATTAAACTGAAACTAAAAAAAAGAAAAAGAAAAGCATAAAAAAAGCTGAAAGACATCGCCGCTAGAAAAAAATTTCATGTATTTCCAGTATAATAATCTTTTGTCTTATTGCCAGTAAGATGAAGCAGTTTATGGGTCCCTAAAATAATGAACGCAACCATAAAGGCATCATTTATGTCAGCCGGCGTTTGCACGGGAACAGCCGTAATTGTGTACCAGGGAGCAATAAATGAAAAAATAACTTAATTGGTCACCTCTTGAAAGATTCTAAACCGGGAAGGCATAAGCTCTGCGGGTGCAACATATGGGAACTGTTTGAAAAGTGAAACAACCGAAACTCAAAAAAAAAAGAAGAAAAGCGCAAAAAAAAAGAGATGAGAAAAATCGCCGCTGGGAAAAAATTTCATGTATTTCCAGTATGGCAGCACATGGCAAGCAAGAGAAATGATTAAACAAAGGCACACATTTTAAACATGCAGACAATGAGCAAGCTTAATTGGAACGCTCTGCAGGGTGGCCAGGACTGGTTCGAGCGATGCTAACCTCGAAGCACTTGGCGCTGTTGCCGAGATAATACTTTGGCAGGCTTGGATAGTATGCCAGCATGCATTGGTAACATCTTGGTGACACAAGCCGAAGTTGCGCAGCACCGGTGGCAATCAAACCCTTACAGGACACGCTGCTGAGCGTACGAGTCAAGCTTGTTTACCACTGTTCACGCATGTCTTTGACTGCCTTGTGGCTGTTAGTTGATGACGTACATGTTCGTCTTTGACCCTTGAACCGTACATCGCATTGTTAAAGGGACACTAAAGGCAAATATCAAGTCCACGTTGATTGCTGAAATAGCGGTCCAGAAACCTCGTAGTGTTACTTTTTTGCCAAGGAGGAGCTTATTTTGAAATAAAATCACATTTTAGTGGTCCGCATCAAGCTAGCATACTTCGAATTATCTGCCTCAAAGCTGACACTTTTTCGTTGCTGTTGCCGTGCACAACGTTGCCCGGCTTTATTGTGCAGCCACCAACACTAGTAGCTGCAGAGCGAAAGTAGCAGGAGCCACAGCAGCAACAACAGCCATTGAACAATTTCCTACCATGGCAGGCGTGCTTGGTTCAACTGGGCCTTGCTAGATGACACAAGCTGTCCAGTTTAACTATGCGAAAATAAACCTTTTGAACCACTTGTGCCAATCCTCATAGTAATGTCCGGTGGTACTTTTTTTCTATAAATCAAACAGAAATGGGCAAGGAGCATTTTATTAGTACATCACTTGATACACGGAAGGTTCTTTTTTATTGCAGCTAGTTTGATTACTAGTGAATAATTGTAGGCGGTAACTCTAATGTCATCGGGATCATTTTGCGAATGTCCTACTCGTGGTGCATCTGTTCTCGTGCATTTAGCTTAATTTCTCGTTATGTATGGCACTGCTGTTGACAATAGTGTCATTTTAGATGTTGTCATACATTGAGCTTTCACTCTGACATAAATTGCTATTTTCTTTTAGTGTCCCTTTAATACAAGGCTTTTGAGCTCATAAAAAGCTTGCTTTCTTTGTTTGATAGGTAGGCTTTGTTTGATATATTTTGTCTTATGATCTAGCAGGGGTTCTCAAACACTGAGGACTATTTGTTGGAGTTGTGCGGAGGAGGAGGAGGGATACAACTTTATTTGTAAAAAAAAAATCAAAGTATATGCGGTTGGGCCCCTAGACCTCCGGGAGCCCCCTGGCTGACATCTCTAGGCAGGCCCGGTGCACCAGCGACAACTGGTCGTATATTCGAGTTTTGAATTTGAATTGAATAATATGCAATTGAATAATTGGATTCGGCTTTCGAATAGGTATTATTCAAAATTTCAGATAATTTGATCTGACTGTCAAATAGTTGGGATTCTCAATTTTGAATCATTCGACCAGACGAATAGCTAAATGCCACAAAGGCGAATGGTGCAGATTGGATTAGGGTGGCAAAAACAATCGCTAACGCCTTTATTGTAGAATTTTAATGAAAACTTTCTTAAATACCAGTTCAAAAGCGAGCGCATGTTTATTTCAAAGGAGATTGTCATTTCCACACTTTATGGCCCTAGCATAGAAAGCCAGGAAAGTCTCAGAGAGTGTCAAACTGTTAGCATCAAGAAATAACCAGTGCACTGGAATAAAACCCTAATTATAGACAAGAGCTTCAAATATACTTCAATAAGACCCTGATCCCAAGGAAGGATGATCCTTGGAAGTACTCAAAGGAGCATGGAGCTGCACTTTATCTAGGTATCGCCAAAGTTGCTAAGCGATACTTTCCCATCCCTGCTATTGTGGTGCCCAGTGAGCTCATGTTTTCAACTGCAGAAAACACTGTAACATTGCAGCAAGACAGCCATCGACCATGTCAGGAAACAGCTTGTGTTTCTGCATAACAATTAGTAGCCTTCCGGTAGCAGTCACTCATTGCGTTATCTCCTTTAGAACATGAGTAGATTTCATGTTTTCTTTCTTTTTATTTACAATAAAATATTTGTATTCTCTGTTCAATATTTTTGGCCAATATTTGGCACTATCAAATTTGAATTTGATTTGAGATGAAATCTAACCATTCGTCATCCCTACTGTTTGGTAAAAGTGTTGCTTTGTCAAGTTGGTTCATGATTAATATAGATTTACCGGCGCAAAAAAAAGACGGAATATCAGGAAGAACACACACACAGATTGATGTGTATGTGTGTTCTTTCTAGATGTTCCGTTTTTTTTTTTTTCGCTGGTAAATCTATCTTAACTACTATGTGTGCCTGCGAAATAGCCATGTGTGCCAATAAATGTAATGTCGCTTAATTGAAGTTGACTGCTACACTCCATCTACTCTTTTGGTTTGCATAATGTGGCATGTTGGGAGAGTTTACCACAATAGGTGACCGGTAAAATAGGCAATCGCAGGGAACTGTGGGATATGTCGGCTTTCGGTTCGACACACCACATGGGTTAGCAGCGGCACGCATGCACTTTTGTACCGCTCCGTTGAAAAAAGCACCTCTTCGTGCAGTGTCAGTGCTTTAGAGGTTGGTTTTTTGTTTCTGCTAGCTGTGACTGCGAAAATGACCAGCTACGAAAGCCATGAAGAGTAAGGAAACTTTTTATCGCACCAAAATGCTCTGCAATGCTTTTATGCTGCTCGGGGGTACTGTCAGTTTTGCTAGCAGATCGGTCGATACAGAAGACAGTTTTCATTGTATGATACGTTACTGCAGATAAAAAAATTACGGTTTTAAAGATCTCAGGGGATGGCGATGACTCTAGCAGTGTGTTAAGAGTTCATTTCGGGATCGCTGCTTCGGCCGAAATCGTCAATCAATCGGCATGAAGCACAATATTTATCGAGCGCGTTGAGATGTTTTTTTTATAGCCTTCAGTGCGCTATAAGATGCATTTCTTAGTTGGAGCCAGATGCTTATTTGAACACTGATCTATGTCAAGGAGCGCGGCACGGTGGCAAATAAACAATTCAGTCAGACATAGACGGCGCCGAAGAATCAAAACCCTGCACTTTTTTTAACGCACTTCTTTCTTTGTGTGCCGTCCTGACGCACAGTTTGACCAAGATAAATGCAAACGGACTCGTCCAGTGGTTCATGTAAAGTTATTCTTGAGTTAAGCTTTCACTTTTTTTTTGCTCATAAATATGGGTGCAATGCCGCCGCTCATCTCATATGACAGGTAGATTTCGCCCACGCGTTCATATAAATATTTTTGCTAGGCGCGCCTGCGCGACAATTTGTTTTCGGATATAACATTTGCATCAATTCATGTGTATGCTTTCTATTAGTGCGGAATACACACGTACTTGGGATAAAATGGTCTTCGCACACTCTGGATTTAACGTTCGGTGCCCAAAGGCTACTCGTCGCTGCGGCTCTCTTCACAGCTGCGGCCCACCTCATTTTTCTTTCTTCGTTCTATGAGGATCGATACATGCGTTTGCCTTTCACGCTTGAGTTGGAGCAGGCAATGGCTGAATAACAGACTATGGTTTAGCAAGACAAAAAAAAACGGGCGACCGCGTGTGCGAATCTTGAATAATTTGAGGCTTACGGCGGAGTGGTTCGCCGTCGTCTACTCTCTTCGAACCAGAATCCGGCAGCAGACGGTGCGTCCCACAATCCCTCGCTCTTTTACTGGTCACCTATTCCCAAGCTTGGTTTTGACGCGATGCCTATCGCTGTCATGAACTGTTTAAGGCACCTGACTCTAACAATACGTGAGGTTCGTCACCACCAGAAATCTACATGCATTCATTTGTATTTCTATGCAGGGCATGTATGTGGTATCCCCAATGAAGCTTGGAGGGAAAGTGGCCATGATTCCCATTAATGTTAGCAAGTCGCCACAGAGGATTGCTCCTGCCCCCACAACATCTTCAATGATCACTAGCCCGAATGCGGGTACCAGTCGAGTAGCACTTGCTGCAAGCTCTACAAGCACTGCCACCACATCTACAGCCCGACCAACAGCTCCGACAACCACAATAGTGCCAGTGCCGGGCAAAATGAATGTACTTCTTAAGCCTCCGGTAAGTAAGCAAAGCTGTATGGCAAGTGTTGAATGAGCTTTATATACATGTAGGGGTGGAACAGCTGCATCATTTGCACCATTGTATGACTAACTGGTTTACCTGCTTCATCCTGCGCCACACCATCCTTTTTGCGCCAAACTCTCTTATCAGTGCCATACAGCGGCGCAGCACCCCATTTTAGCTGCAAGATGCCCCCGTGCCTAAAAGCAGGCTGAAACATTGTGCTTTCAGTTTCACCAAACCAGTGATATTAGCGGCTTCGTCAAGGCTCGGGTAGCACTTGTTGCAAGCTCTACAAGCACTGCCACCACATCTACAGCCCGACCAACAGCTCCGACAACCACAATAGTGCCAGTGCCGGGCAAAATGAATGTACTGCTTAAGCCTCCGGTAAGTAAGCAAAGCTGTATGGCAAGTGTTGAATAAGCTTTATATACATGTAGGGGTGGAACAGCTGCGTCATTTGCACCATTGTATGACTAACTGGTTTACCTGCTTCATCCTGCGCCACACCATCCCTTTTGCGCCAAACTCTCTTATCAGTGCCATACAGCGGCGCAGCACCCCATTTTAGCTGTGCAAGATGCCCCCGTGCCTAAAAGCAGGCTGAAACATTGTGCTTTCAGTTTCACCAAACCAGTGATATTAGCGGTTTCGTCAAGGCTGTAATCACTGGAGCAGCAGCTGTGAACTTGGATTGTAAGGACGAGATTGAAGGCGCGCGCGCTATCTCTGCAGGCATCAGTGCGAATGGCCTGTAAACCCTTGTACATGCTTCGCTCTCAACGCGAAGAGACAGCTAGAATAGCATCTCTCCATCGATATGTAGTTATGCAATATCGGATTCAACAGGGTTAGCTGCCAGCTGTACTTCATATAGCATAACAAGTTGTTGCTATTGCATTCATTGCTTCACTCTTGCGGCAAACGTGATTTTTTTTTTTATAACTTAATGGCAGCGTTCAGAAAAAAAAAAGGATTTTGGTGATGGTAAGGGTGCTCAAGAGAAACAAGGGTGGTGTCAGGCTTCTGGAGCAGCTTGGTGAAGACAGGTGCACAGGACTGCTCATCAAGTGCGCACACGTATTGTTCAGTTCAGCGCTCTACTACGATACACAGCGCTCATGAATTCAGCAGTTGCTTGTTTGTTCAGGTTTTAAAAAAAAATCTGCGGCCGGCTCTACAGAGTTGCATCACGACGGATTAGCAACTATTTGCGATAGCAACAAATTGTAATGTTGTATGAAGTAAGGCTCACATCTGTCTGTTTCATATCCAATTTTATCCTGCTCTAGAAGACGCTGCTGTAAGAGAACATGGCCACGCCAGGGAGAGCAACATTTGTCGTGCAGTGTCTTTGAGATGAGAGTAGAGCATGTAGAAGTGTATGATAGCCAACCTCTAATGGCCGAAATAGTACGTGTGCCAGCGATTGCGACCGCACCCTTATAAGCAAAACTCACAGTTGCTGCCTAATAGGCAGCCCCCCCCTTCCCCCCCCTGTACCCTTTGGCGTCTTTTTTATGCTCAGTGAAGGTGGGTGTGGCGTTTCCTCTGCTTCGACGGGAGGCTTTCCGAGTGAAGGGGATATCACTGCATGCACCCTTGGAGGACGGAGATGGGTCGGCTTGTTTGATCCCTGTTTCAGCCGCATTTGTTGCCCCAACTTTTACACTTTGACCCATTTGTAAAACACGTGATGCGCAGGATTATGTTATCACTTTTGACTTTACACGGGACATTACAGCAAGGGTGAAAAACCGTCAATAGTGTCCACATAGTCTCTATCACAATAATAAGGCTACTGTCCAATTTAGCTTGGTGTGTGAAAAATGAGTTAGGCAGGGGACGAATGTTGCTTCACAAAAGCTATAAAATTGCCATAGATCTGATCTGAACATTCTCTCTGACTGCTCCAAACTTACCGTATTTACTCGCTTAATCCTCGCACTCGCATAATTCTCGCACCCCCCACATCGCCCAACAAAAATATGACTTTTTTTTTACCTCGATTAATTATCGCACCCCTAAAAACTGCCCCAATAATGTCGTCTGCCCGTTCCAGCCACTGATGATAATAATGCGCGTCATCTGGCGCCATCTCTTAAGCATCAATCGTACTATTACTGCACGGAGATTCAATCCAATCCAAGCCAAGCCAAAGTGGCAAGTGCACGTTGCAGCGTGTTTTGTATGTTGTGTTGGTAATCTTGTCACGTTATGTGGCGATACTGAAGCTACACGGCTGCTTTGAAGTTGAAAGTGATACATCATGCTCTAAACAACGACAACAGGGCCGCCGGTAGGCCCTTCGGAGTCTACGAGTTTTGTGCTCGCTACTGGTAACGGCAGCTGAAAGCCACCAAGACGTGTTGGGCCTGCCGTGTGCCTAAAATTGGGATTGATCGTGAACTTTATTTCTTCGGAAGGAAACTGCGGGCGATTCTATTAAATAGCCATCAGCCCAATACTGACGTCCTATGCTTACCTTTTGAGGGCTCCTGTTGTGCGACGAATGCTACGCTACGGCCGCAACACCCACAAGCTTTGCGAATGGTATTCTAATTCTCGACTATTTGCTTGCACTTTTAGTGTCTCAAATAAATCTTGCCTTGTGTTGAATTAGTGCTTTTAATGTTGAGGTGAGTTTTAATTAGTACTTATCAAAGCTTGCTGTTAGTTGCTGGTGTGAGAATCCCGATTTGCGGTCACTTCGTTTTCTTTTTTGCACTGTAAGTTTTCGTGGAAAGTTTGGCCCACGTAATTCTCGCACCCCCCAACTTTGCATCGGTTTTCCGCCAAAAAAAGTGCGAGGATTATGCGAGTAGACACGGTACTCAAAAAGGCCTTTCTGGCTGCTCCAAGCCTGCTACAAAAGGCTATTTAGCTTGCTCCCTGGACTGCTCCCAAACCCATGTACCCTGTTCCACCCCTGCATTTGGGTAAGATGATCGCTGGCAAAAAAAAAAAGAAAGTGAAGCATTGGCTGTTAGTATCATGGCCGGGATGAGTCTTTACAGATGCAGTCTTTGACATGAATGCCTATATTACGAGCTTGCAAAAAACGGGTCGTTCCTCATAAGCTGTGATGCAGAAATCTCGATTTCATTTCTGCCAATTCCTGAGATGCTATCACTACATAAAAGGGGCAAAAATGGCTGCTGGCCACAGCTATGGTGAATCAGTTCAAGTAGCTGATGCCTGCTCATGGAAGTGCCAGCAGTCAGTGGAGGAATTATGTCGTAGTGATGTTTCTTTCTCGGTGCACCAGAGAGACTAATCACAACACTTTCATTTCCTCATGTGAGGGCTTTGAAGGAAGTGTGGAACTTGTGCTAAAATTCTGCTAATTCTATCTTGCTGCACATGATAAAAGCATGAGGGTTGGCCACTGCCGTAAAATTCCAAGCAAGTGCCTCCCTCCAACGAAGTCGAAATGGCCAGCAAGGGGGGATGGAGGGGGGAGGGCTAACTCGGTACGGCACCAAAATTCAAGATGGCAGCAAAATTTTCGTGCCAGAAAAAAAATGCAGTGTGCATGGATTAAAATTTTATTACAATGAACTTTATTTAGGCCCAGAATTTGTTGTAACTTTTAATCGCTTTCAATACCATTGAAAGACTCCTTTGAGTTAGTTGCAAGAAACACTTTGCATCATTCCGCTTGAAGTCTGCCGCAGTCTTCTGGCACCACAGCTCAAACATCGGCCAGTCTGCTGTGCAGGTCACCGTCCTACAAGCCATCGAGCACGTTACTAATGCCGCATCCTTTGAAGGACCGTGCCACTGTCTCTTCAGGTACAGCGGTCCATGCCTCGGCAACAAAATTGAGCACATGTCGCGACGGCTTCTTCAAATTTTTTTTCAGTGTTTGTGCTTCCTCACGCATGTACTGCTCCTACAAGTGCCACAAGGTGGACTTGAACGGCTTGTTGAGGAAGGAGAGGCGAGACGGCGGCGATGAGCCCGTGCCGAGGTCACAGCTTTATTCGGGGCGCAGGTGTAGGCGGAGTCGCCGCTGCAGCGTCCAGCCAGGTTCCAAAGCTAGGCCGTTTTGAAATTCCTCGTGGCTCGCGCCTCATGTGCCATACGACTCGCTTCTTTTTCGGCGTGGCCAGCTAGCCAAATCTAGCGTGGCGCTACAGGCTTATTCCAATACACGTCAGTAGGCTTAAGGATGCTTGTGCACGCCACAGGCCCGTGTAGCATATTAGTGTCGTACTCCTCGAAGGCATTTGTGGTGGCTTGTGTCTTATAAATGGGCGCCTGGTCCAACACTAGTATGAGTCGCACGTCGTCGACCTTTGAGCCCTAGACTCTCCACAGCCATTCTTGTCATCCAGCCATTTTTTTGTGGCACTGAGATCAACATTTGCTACGAATAAGAAAAAAGTCAGCCTTGTGATGAACCGAACTAGGCTACAATGTGACCCCTCGCACCCATTAAAAAAATAAAAATTATCTTCACCTGGTATGTGAAGGTTCGCAAAGGCCCTGGCTGGAATTTTCTGCTTTGCTCCTTGAAAATAATGAAGGCCCCGAGCTTGTAGCCGGTGGCGCAAGCAGCTAGGCAAATCCTGAAGTCTCGCCGGGCACATCCAATGTTCGCAATCCGTACAGTGCTTTCGCCGACCACGTTGTTCGTCCTGTTGGCGGGGTTGTCTATTCGCACTACCGACTGATTCATGCTGGCCATGTTATTGGCCGCGAGATCAAGCAGAGTCACCGCCTGGCGGGCGAAGTGTGGATTGCTCCCTGCGTCGTCTGCTAGCCACATCGTGTTTGTATGGAAGAGTAGTTCATCATGCACGCTCTCAAACAATGGTTTGTTTGGATGTGTTAGCGCAAGTTTAGCTGGTTGTACGTATGTCTGAAACAATGTATGAAAGCATGTGGTCTTGCTTGGCTGGTAATGCACTGTAATGAGATTAGCGAGTGCAACTTTCCAGAGTGCTGTGTACTGTCGTCGTACCCTCCATTCACCAGAATCATTTCAGTGTGGGTGCCACTTTCTGCTTCAAGCACATCGTAAAATGCACTTGGCATTGTCCCAAACATGAGCACTATTAAATGGTTTGTGAATGCAGCATTTTAGCGACTTCGAGGCTCTAAGCCACGCACTTGAACCTTGTCGTTAGGTGTATAACTACGGCACTGTATATAGTTCACTGACTATGCGATGAGCTTTTGTTATGTTTATCCGGCCATGGCAGTATGTATTACAGAGAATTAAATCCATCAAGTAAAGCTTGACACTTTGGAGCTTAAACTTTTCTTAAAACAGAGTTGCTGTGTGCAATTTTCTAACTTAGAGCGAAATTTACCCAGAAACACCCGTGTGCTTAGATTTAAAAATGCTTCAAGAAACCCAGATGTTCAAAATTAATTCCGACGGCTTTCTTTACACTGGTGTTGTATAATTTTATGGAAAGTGTCATCTTTTTTTTTTTTTTACATTGTCTTGAGCGTTTGCGTGGCATCATGATTGACGGACGGAAGGCAACGGTCATTTTTTGTTTCAAAAAAGATAAAACTAACATGTTCTTCCCATGCAATAAACAGACCTTATTTGTATCACTGTCATGCACCTAATCCTTCAATGAAAGCTTCTCGCGGAATTCTTATAAGCTTTTGATATAGTTTTACTAGTGCAAGGACATGTGGTTATGTAGTAAACGTCAATGTAGCGCAAACGCTGTCAGCCACAAAGCTTTCCTGGCTCGACTTATCGACTGTTCGACATTTCATGGGGAATAGAATAGGAAAAAAATGCGCATGCGTATTTGGTGCGAACAGTGGTACCGAACTCTTCGCACCGATATGAGGGCTTTCTACCATCTTTCCTTCTCTTTCTTCTACACCATTCAGATTAGCAAGATGTTAATAAGTAGCCAAGTCGTGCAACAGGAGTGCGTAGGAGGCGGAACACAAGCGAAATGCGAACAAAGAAGACAGAAAAAACGTGATTTAGTGTGCAAGCAGGCAGACAGTCACCCAGGGCGAGCATCCCTTTATAGCCACAATGCGCTTCACTCGGTAGTAATACAGTCGAGACTCGCAATAAGGAAATCGCCGGGGAAACCAAAAAATGTCATTTTCGTGAGAATTTCGTTACCACGACTATGAGACATAAAAACAGTGATACGGCCAGCAGAACGAAAGTTTATTGCCAGAAGTCGGTCAACTTACTTTGCTGACCCTTGCCATACAACAACTTCAAGCTCTCCCTTCGCACTGGAAAAAGTGGTTCATTGCTACGTCGTCGTCATGTGCGCCGAAGAAGAAGCGAAGGGTGTTCAGCGCATCCAAAACAACCCGCGGGTTGGGTTTCTCCGCGCGCTTTTCTCAGGCACCATTGTAACTTCATCTCGATTTCGCCACCAGTTCCTGTCTTCTCTTCGTCGTTTTGATTGATTCCAACTGTTGGTGTTCCTTCGGCCTGTTGAGCTCATCCGACGGCGCCATCTGCACTCTAGCATGATCATTTGCCATTGCCTGCTGCAGTGTGGCCAGGCTTGTTGCCGGACACAGACCCCATCGCCGATTTAAGTAAACAAAAATGACGGTACCCACGCTAGTGCGGCAAAAGCAGACGTTTACAAATTTTGAGTGTGCATAACACGCATACGAACATATTTTCTACAGTTAACCTTTGGCGGGAGGGTAAAATAAGGCCCTCACCGTAGTAGAAAATTCGTTAATGCGAGGTCGCTGTCCAAAAACTTTTCGTTGCCGTGAGATACGTAATACATGGGCTTCTATGAACGTTCGCCGGGGATCCGAAAATATTTCGTTGCCGCGGGGATTTCGTACTCGCGGGGTTTCGTTATTGCGGGTTTCAACTGTAGTAACATTGTGTGGGTATAGTCAAGAAAGTGTGCACGTTTTGGGCTGAGTCGAGAAATACAGAAGGAAAAAGAGTGCTAGAGCAGAAGAGGTAAGGATGCTTTGAAATGAAGGCAGAGTGGTTCCAAGCTCAGCTCAATAAAAGTATTTTTTACTTTGTGCCTTTTTTGACAGAGCCGAGTCCGTAGTGTCTGAAACTCCATAGTTTATACAAAAGTGTAGTAAATAAGGTTCTGGGTTCGGTGTCACACATATGAAGCGCCGTCCACATTTAATGACCTAGCACACTTGGAAGGTGACCCGACCATATTATTTTTAGTTTGTAATGCTGTAATGCCCCATGGGCATTACAGCGTTAAACATAGAAGATCTTTGTGAGGATCTGTCGACAAAATTGACATGTGGTTGGTGTGCCTCCTTGTTGTAGCAGTAAATCAGGAGACAAATTGTACAGATTGCGTGAGTAAACATGGTAACCTTCTGTATTTGCCTAGTGTGGTATTCACTTAATTTTAATGGTGTTAGCTCAGTAAAGAAATGTCACGATGTTTTCAGATCGGTCAAGCCGTGTCGAGGGCTGTTACAATGGCTGCTGTTGTTCAGACGTCGAGCTCAAGTGGTATAGTCACTTCAAGTGGCACCAGCAGCCTCGTGACATCTGTGAGCAGCAGCTCGGCAGCTGTACAAGTGCCAGGCAGCAAGTTTCACTATGTGCGCCTGGTCAGTGCTCCTGCAGCAACTACACAAGCCAGCGCAGTCCTTGGTGGTAAGCACAGATGTAGAATGACTTTACTAAAGTAGTTGTGCCCACAGTCAGGAGGGCTGCGGCGGCTGCATTTCCGATGGAGGCGGAAATGTTGTAGGCCCGTGTACTCAGATTTGGGTGCACGTTAAAGAACCCCAGGTGGTCAAAATTTTCGGAGCCCTCCACTACGGCGTCTCTCATAATCATATGGTGGTTTTGGGACGTTAAACCCCACAAATCAATCAATCAATCACAGTCAGGAGAAATGTTTGTGGAATTGTCTACTGTGAAATAAAATTAAAACATATAGGAAAACTTCTAAAATCAGCACTGACTCCAATTAAGAACTTTTTTTTCAGCTGTTTCCTCACAATCTATGATAGTGCTGATTCGCTTCCTTCTTCTCTTATTCAAGATACACTCAAAACCTAGATATAATGAGCCCAGATATAACAAAATGTTAGGTATAATAAGGTAAATGAAGAGTAGTCTTGCAATGGTTACAGTGTTAGGAATATATCTTTATTACAAATTTGTAGTGTATGGTCGCAAGAGCCGATGACGCAAGAGCCGATGACGCAAGAGCCGATGGACGGAACGGTGGCTGGAAAGGCTGCAGGGGGTGCTGGAGCTGAGTCTGAGAGGTCACGTCAACATACGTAGCCGGCATACCCGCTGCAAAGGATGGTGGTCGTGCGGCAGCTTCGGCGTAAGTCAGTGGGGCGGGCGCTTGAACGACTGGAGGCGGCCTGGCGACCACTTGGGCGTAACTTGGGGGTACAGGAGCCGGAAGCTGTTGTGGGTGGTACGCAGGCATAACCTCCGCTATTTCCTGCTCAATCGCTCGGCGGATGGGGGGGAAAATGGTAGTGGCCGATTGTTGAGCAGCCGGTGGGTGGGCGAAGGGCAGGAGAGAGAACTGCCGTGCGATTTCCTCACGTATGAAGGACTTGAGGTCTGCCAGCAGTGCCACCTGGTCACAGCTCGCCTCCAAGCCTGCAAGCCCTGCATCTCGTGGTGTGGAGCGACGGGTCATCGAACGCTGCCGGCGGAGCTCCTCGTAGCTCTGGCACAGCGTGATGACCTCAGCTACTGTGCCTGGGTTTTTGGCCAGCAGCATCGTGAAGGCATCATCGGCAATGCCCTTCATGACGTTCCGGATCTTGTCTGATTCGGACATGCTGTCGTTGCATTTCTTGCATAGGTCCAAGACGTCTTCAATGTAGCTGGTGAATGATTCACCGGCCTGCTGAGCGCGTTCGCGTAAGCGCTGCTCGGCTTGCAGCTTACGAACGGCAGGGCGGCCAAAAACGTTGGTGATAGCGGTCTTAAAATCGGGCCAGGTTGCGAAATCAGACTCGTGGTTGTTATACCACATGCCGGCCACACCCGCGAGGTAGAAAACCAGGTTGCCGAGTTTACCTGCCTCGTCCCAATGATTGGGGACGCTGACGCGTTCGTACATGACGAGCCAGTCCTCGACGTCGGTGCCATCCGCGCCGGTGAAGACAGGTGGGTCGCGGATGCGGGGGACACCGGAACATGGCGTCGGCGCAGGAGGAAGCGTTTGCTGGGCGGCGTCTTGTTGCATGGTTGAAGGCACGGTACGGGATCTAAGCTCCAAGGGCATCGAATGTGAACCGAAGATGTTTGAAGGGCACAGCACCTCCACCAAAATGTTAAGGCGTTTAATAGCCGGTCCACAGCGAGCAAGCACAATGGCGACAGTAACGGCCAAGCACGGGCTCTCAGTGCGAGCGGCGTCCTTGTTGGGTAGCCCCACTAGAAGGTACTCAAGAGTTCGACCCATTTCATAGTTCGGAGGCTTCGCTACAGTAGATATATTGAACTTAATTTCATGTAAGATCAAGTTTGTTATAATGAGGCTTGACTGTAGTTGGAAACAGTGGGATGTTTTCAAATTACATTTCTTAGTAGCACGTAGCTCTCCATCTTGCCCCGAATTTGTTCAGCTGTTCATGAAGATGTCGAAACTGTTGAAGACAATTTTTACTATATTCAATGTTAAATTTTATTTTGTGGAAATGGCTAGTTGTGCCTACCCTTTTGGGCTGCGTGAATGTAACACACTTGTGGTGAGGCCTCGTCGATCTAGCAGCGGCGTGCGGCAGGCTAGCAGGCTTTCACTTTACGTTTAGGCCTGTGACAACTGAAGGGCCTGCAAGGGTTCATTTCAAATTTATTTGCACGCCGGTCGACCCGTGTGGGGTTGCACGTGGAGTGCTGTTTGAGTCTGACTAATGTACTTATTGAGCAGACATGAAAATTTAATTAAAAACAAACAAGCATTTAATTAAAACAAGGGCATTGGAAGGAGCTAACAAAAATGAACTAAGAGGGAGAATACAAATACACGTGATGAAAACAACAGTTAAATAACAAACTAAGGTCTAAAAGAACAGTACAAGTGGTGCAAGTAAACAGAGCACGGTAAGATAATAAAATAACGACATGACGGAAATCAAAAAGAGATACAAAGAAGAATTAAGAAAAGTCTGGCTCTCGCTTCTGAGTTACTACATGCGACGCAGTGCACACAGTAGAATTATTCAAAGCTGGTTATAATAAAATAACGGTTAAAGAAAAATTTCAATAAACAGTTATATACTGACCACTCCAGCTCGTGGTTCACGGAAGGGAGTTGACGGGGTGCCGCTGATAGTCTCGCCAGCTAGTGCAGACGACGCGGGTGCCCGGTGTTGCCCACATCCCGCTTGAATAAAGGCACTGTGATTGGTGTAACTTTTTATGGTCACGTCACCGTGCCTTTTATTGAGCCTTCAATACTGATCAAGCTAGTTACTGACCATACTAACTTCTACCTAGTCTCCATTTAGGGCGACTCACATGTCATAAAGGAATTCATCTAAGCGCCCTGCAAAACTTTCCCCCAAGTACCGTATTTACTCGCATAATAGACGCACCTGAGAAATCAGGTTTTTTTATTTCCGCACATAATAGGCACATCCCGATCTTGGCCATAATCACCGTATTTGCACAGTTGCAAGTCAACACCCTCTTACCAGAGTGTTAAATTGCAATGCGAGGAAAAAGGAAAAAAAAAAAAAAAAGGCCGTAGCAGTGCTGCGCCAGCTCTGCTGGCTCGAGGAGTGAGGAAGAAGGGCAGTTTCCTGGGTGTTGGAGTAACCTTCGCACCTGCGCCGACGTGGCTCTGGCCACGCACGCTGCATGGGAAGCGGAATCGTGTCCTCGTCAAGTGTGCATTACGTTTCCTGTCGGGAAAAGCGCCGCCATTATTGCGTTTGCTACCTCGTCTTCAAATATAAAAGCTCTTCGGCTTTATGACGCGAGTTTTCGCCCTTGATGTCACTACACGGACTTCCACAAGCTCGGCGAACTTCTGTCGTCGTTGATTTGCTGGCCAGGAACCTCAACATAATATTACGTGCGCTGCTCTTGGATCAGTGCTCGAGTGCAATCGTTACAACGCCCAATCTTCATGTTGTCTTGTACAAACTTCCCGCGACAACTTGCTGAATCGTAGCCTAGGCCTAATCACTATTGGTACTTCTGGTGGCGGTCGTGGGCGATCAAAGTTGCGGTATTGTACTTAATCAACGCAACACTTTGGTAGCTTTAGTTGAAGGAGAGGAAGGGGCAGGGGGCTTGGGCGGCGCTTGTAACTCTTAAATGGTGGTTCGTGATTCGATTGCAATGTCTTGGATATTGGGTGCGAGCTCGTGAAATCAAACGATCGCTGCCGATCAGCGCACAGAATTTTGTTTGTGATAATGCGCATAACGTGGCAGTTACAACGTAGTAATCAGCGAATTCCTGCGATGGCGCTTTCTTTTCAAAGTTCTTTTTTTTTTTCTCGTTAATTTCAATGGCAACGCGGGTCTCGTGATGTTAATTTTTGAAAATTTTAATGCACACCGCATCGCATGCCTTGATTCTCGGTCATGCGAGACTGCATGCTCAACACATTTTGTGCTAATGTAGTCTATGAAGGAAGTTGTTTTGTGTCTAGTGCGGATATTTGCGAGTTCGGTGACGTATACGTTAACCGCGGTCTATACTGTTCGAAAACAAAATTTTTTGAAATTTTGCCCCACATAACAGGTGCACCCCGAACTAGGCACTAGATTTTCTGGACAAAAAATGCACCTGTTATGTCAGTCAATATGGTAATTATTGAATGACCTCACTACTGATGTCCACTGTTTCAGAAATTGCTTTCCATAAACATTTTTTTAATTCTTCAATTATGAATTCTGATTCTTTTTTATTCCCCGAAGCTGTACATGCGCTATCTGCACTGCACGTGCCGGCACACCTACCACACGCAAGCGGAGAGCGAAAGAGTGTTTCGGCGACGCTCGTTCGCTCTCCACTTGCGGACGACAGTTGTCCCAGCAGGTGCAGCGTGACTGTGCGGAGAGCCTGTCTACAGGCCAACTCGCACGAATTGACACTGAAAGTGTTGATCATCCGCTCGTAGCATACCGGCTGTTCATAAAAAAAAAAAACGTAGTGTCAAATGGGACCACGCACGTTGCGGGTGCACGTCACGCTGTTGCGGTGGGCATGATTGTGCTTTGTTTTTTGCTTTGTTTTTGCACCGCTGTGCTGGCATGGCGCTATAAGCAAGAGGTTTTTTCTGCGTTCGACAAATGGCCCTCTGCCGTGAAAGGTGTGACTTCTAAATTTGGATTTGATTTGATTGATATGTGGGGTTTAACATCCCAAAACCACCAGATTATAAGAGACGTCGTAGTGGAGGGCTTCGGAAATTTCGACGACCCATATCAACTTCTAAATTTTGATTGATGTCATCTGCGCTAGCACTGCTCATAACAGTTTTGCATGGCTGTTAAACTATGTTATGACTTTTATTGCATCGTTATTTTCTGACATAATGGCATTATTTAATATTGTTTCGATCGTCAGTGGCACTGGCAATCACACTGAAATAAAATGAACAGATACATTGAAAAACAGATTTTTTTTCTAAGGAACAAAGTGGGGGCAGGGTTCATTGTGCGAGTGGGTTCATTACGCGAGTGATTATGGTATTTGTTCTCTTTCCTTCTTTCTTCCTTTCTTTACTCTTTCTCCGGCCTCTTCCCATAGTAAGGCAGTAAATTGTGTACAGCCTGATTATTCTCTCTGCATTTCTGTTGCCTATCTTGCTCTTTTTAATATCAGTAGAAAGTTTAGGTTTTGTTTTAAATATATGCCATGATAATGCTTTTCAGTGTGGGCATGTTGGCAGCATTTCTGCTTCTAGCTGGTCTGGTACAAGCACTAGGAATTTCTATTAGTTTCCCTGCTTAATAAGTTTTCATATTATACAATCTTTCGCTTTTGCTTTGTGTACTGCCAACCATCCATAGGTAAGAACTTCTAAAGCAGAATGTCTTTTTTTTTTTTTTGAGTAAAGCAACTTTAGCACGGAGTAAATCCTTGTATGCTGTGTGCACATATAGTGTATGGGAATTGTATAATTATGCCCTAATATTATTGTATTTTCACCACGTGTTAGTATTCGCCACCTCAAGTTTTCGTTACACACTGTGGATGCTATTCTGAACGTAGTAAAGTTCTGCCGTATTATCAGATCTCATGATTATGGCATTTAAAGCTAATGAAAGATGCCGTAGCAGCTCTCTGGGCCAATTGGAGTTGACCAGCGGTGGGATTCGACAGTGTCCAAAATGGCACCCCTAATATCTTTAGAAAATAACTTTTCTGTATTTTAATGCACTACAATAGCAAAAAACACGAATAGCACATAGTTTGTCTTCTAATTTTGTGCTGATAAAGCATACATCGCTTGAGCAAAAAAAAAAAAAAAATCAATGTGCCACCTTGACACCACCTCGTTTTTTTTTTTTTTTTTTTTTTTTTTCATGGGGCTGGAATTCACAGCAGCCAAGTCTGCCACCCTAGTGCCTGTAACCACAGCAAGACCCCTTGTGCCAGCAGTGCCTGTGACCGTCGCGTCAAGCACTGCCAGTGGAACTTTGCCGGCTGGTGTACGATTGGCGGTGCCCATTGCCCCAGCTATTTCAGCCCAGCAGGTATGCTTTCTGTGAGGTTGTGGATCAAGAATTTTCCTTCTTGACTCTTAACACTGTGAGGGTATGGTTTTGTTTAATTCATAGAACAGTAAGGTACTTCATAAATAGAACATAGTTGCTGACGTACCATTTGGAAAGCGGTTTATGCCTTGATGAAGCCCCCACCAGGGACTTTCCCAATAATTCCAAACAGTTCTTACTTTGTTCCCATCTGTGTAGCAGGGCCTAAAAAAAAGCATTGTTGTAAGGCATTCCATTTTCCCCCCTCCATGTTCTAAAAGCTTCATTGCAAGGACGCTCTTACTGAAGAGTATGTGTATCTTTTTTATCTTTCTGTTCAGGATTTTTAATACCTGTAGAGAGGGGGGCCCTCTATCTGAGGTATTGTCAGCATAAAGGTAAGAAAGCCTTGAAAATAGAGGTGGCATGTAATATTGAATTGAAGCAAACTCAAAAAGTATATCTAACTGGTTGTATTGTTATTTGTTCTGTCCTCATATTGAGGACTACTCTTACCTGCTTTGAAAGAATGGAAGGGCAAATATTCGCGGGGCCAGTTTCATTTTTAGACACAACCTGAAAAAATCTTGACCAGTTGAGTCGAGGAAAAAGCAGGTGACACTATTTGTTATATTTGACCATAGTGTAATAATTGTGACATGAATGAAAGCTAATTAAAGTGGGAGAAAGACAAAAAAAGCACCTTTGCCGTTTGCCCAAACCCACAAACCTTTGAATTCTACCTCCTACTCTGAAAGTTGCGAAGTTGAAGATTGATTTCTTCTGCATTTTGGATATTAATGTATTACATAGCTGCCAACTCTCGCAAGTTGTCTGGGAGACTGCTGTATTTTTACCAATCCTTCCGACAGTACGGACACCACCACGAATCTCTCGAAAAAGAGCCATAACCCTACAGCTCTGTAGAGGAGCCGCAGGACCTTCACCACTGCTCACCGAATGAAAGCGAGGAAAGTGTGCCTCTGGTTACGCTTTTCAATAATGGAGCACTGCCGTTGCATTTACATGTGGCTTTTGTTGGGCTTGTTATTTTTTGTTACTCTGAGAAACTATCGATATAGAGAGACGTGGCAATGAACACTTTTTGTGTTACTTATGGTTATAAAAGGATGAGGTTTGCTGTGCAGATCTGATTTGCTATGTTGATATCATCAACATAATTAGTTTCGAGCTGTCTGTTGTAGTTTGAGTTACAACACTTGATATTCTCATTGTCATTCCAAAATTAATGAATTAGACATAGGTTTGCTGAGATTTGTGCTTATGGATATTCACGTGGACCAATTCTGGGCCATAAAGCTACAGTAATACCTCGTTAGCACGAGGTCGTAAAAACCAGGGAAAATTTTGAGATAAAGGGATTTTTATGATAAGCAAAGATGTGCTAATTGCCGGGAAAAATGAGCCTTTTTCAGAAAAATCCCTACTTACCGGGTCTTCAGCGGCAGTTTCTAATCTTTCTTCTCGGGCAGGTTTAAAAAAGCAAAAAATAGCATACAAGAGTTAACCGGCTGCGTTTTGCCCCACTGCCATTTTATTTAGCAGAGAAAATGCTTGTCTGCTTTGCAGTCGTACTCAGGCATAGGAAGGCAACCTCTAGCTGCTTGACGCATCGCATCAGTCCATTTACCTTATTTCGAAGCAAGCGAAGCAAATTTCTAACCTCAGAAGATGTTGGCACCTCTCGAAGTGGTTCGTCATCGCCGTTGTCTCCCTTGTCCCCCACATTAGCGGCCGTTTGAATGATTTTGCATCCGTCATTTCTCCGCTCACCGCCGTATCCTGCTCACACAGTGTGTACTCTAAAGAAGTCACGTCCTTTTTGGCGGCACCGTTATCTGTAAGCTTGATGACCTCTTCACAAAGTTTCTCACAGTCTGTGAAGTCATCTGTATCTGCCATCTCTGCTTCTGGCAAACTGGCGGCACGTGAAAACTCAGCGTCCCCAAAGCAGTTGGTGATAGCCGTTGTGCGTACTTGCTGCCATGCGCTGCTGAGAAGTATACTGCTCCCACGAGGTCAATTTCATAGCCTTTGCCGTTTTCATAAGACAACAAAATTCTGTGGAGAAGGCTCTTTCGGTAAATTTTCCGGACTTTTGATGACACCTTGGTCCATCGGCTGCAGCACAGACGTGATATTTGCAGGCAGAAACTCTACTGTCACTGCCACCAAATTCTCTAATTTTGTTGTGGTCTGGGCACTTGTCGACAATGGATGGACAGGACTTTTCTGTTATTCTTGGCAATTTTGTTATCTATAGCCCGAATGTACTCCATACCTGCCAACTCTTCCGATTTCCCCGTAAAATGTACGGCTTTCGACTGCGCTTACAATTTTGCAAATGTAGCCTGAAATTTCACGAAAAATATTTCCTATCAAAAAAATAAAATAAGTGAAATAGTGTGGCCTCCACAATAAAAGGCGCGTTTAGCCAAGCGCATAGGGATTGTAAAATGAACTACCGTTTGCTATAATCACCGCGCACAAAACCACGGTCGTGGCAACGGGATACGTAATCTACGAGCTTTGAGGGCATGCAGCAGTAGATTGAAGGCAGTAAATACATAAAAAAAGTGAAAGTTTTGACGTAAGGACGAAGCAATTAATGTAACAGTGACCCTAGTGACAGCAACAAATTGGAATGTCATGCTGAGAATGGCAAGCTGATTGAAACGTGTAGCGCGCTGCTCACGCACAAAGGATGCACGAAAACGATACACACAGGACGAGAGTGAACTAACAACGTTTATCGCTCGACACATACTGCACTGTTTAAACAATATCGATGCACGGTACGTAATGACAGGTACAGATGAGCACAAACTAACGAGTGTCCCAGTTGTTATATCTCGCTGTGTATGAAAAGTGCACTCTTTTCGCCAACGGGGCCTGTGCAGAGACCGAAAGAACCCTTGTGGGCCTGGCAACTAACGCGACCGTTCCAGTGAAAGCCGAAGGCACACGATTCTCCCCACCAAAGGATAAGTGCGCGCGCTCAAGCATCTTAACCCCTTCCCCCAATTCGTGGAGCAAAGTGAGAGATAAGTGCGCGTGGGCCCAATGTGACGAGCTGGGCACCGAGCACGGGCTGTTTTTTTTTTTTTCCTTGAGTGTTCATGTATATAGATACATATACATGTACGGTGAATGACGGCGACGGCAAAGGAACAGCTTAGACTGTCCATATAATTGCTATCGCAATGAAAAGGAGCCAGTTGTGTTTTGCCGTGTCTGTCAAAAGAACCTAGTAGTGAGCAAACCCGTGCGATTGTGGCAGTCACCTGCGCCATCCTGGCCATTCAGGTGTGTCCCAGGAAGACATACGCGAGTTGTTTTGACGGAAATAGATTCTGCTAGAGTTGTTCATCCTTTGAGATTCTCGTGATGACGAGCAATACAGTGAAGGTGAGACAAAGGCAGCTTTACCTTGTGGTAATTCAGTAGGAAATTTTTTTTATTGTGAATGCATTTCTTAGTCTGGCTTTGTCAGGCATCCGGCGTTGTCCGCGGTGGTGTCTGCGCACCGGAAGGTGTTATCTCTCCGCTGTCACTCCCTCTCCCACAGCAATGGCTGTGGGTGCACGCACTTATCCTCGCCCCTAGCAAGCTGAGCATCTGTGCGAGAGAGTGTAAGAGAAGGTAGGTGCTGTGCTTTGCGCTCCCTCTCTCGCCGTTCGCTCTCTCTCTTCTTTGCGCCACACTCTCCCGTTCGCTCGTGCCTCACTCATCACCGTTCGCTGGCTGGGCGCCTCTCAAGACTATGGAAGAAGTCGGTGAAGGCGAATGTATGAGGGCAACGGTACCCTCTCTCAGTGCAAGAAATGCATTTGCATTTCCTCATGATTCTATTCGGGCAGGTAGGGGCCTTTTTTTCTCCCTTGAAACAAGATGTACTATTTTGAAACTTTCTGATTATCTTACTGACAAACTATACTATTCAACAATATAAAAGCCATATATTTACTTGGACCGCTACATCGCAAAAAGTAAGCTGCAATATGAGTCAAAATGCTGTTTTCCCCAACTTTGCTGCAATATTTTGGCAATATTCTTGCTTTATTTGCTCCCTAAGTATTTTAATCATTTAATATGGGAAGTTATGAAGCAGAAAATGTAAATATATTACTTGCAAAGAATTTTGTGCTTTTTATAAAAAATGCTAAACATGCAGCATCTTGCAACTTTTTTTGCCAAAGTGAAAAAGAAAATGAAAACAAAAATGAATAGCCTATCATAGCCATGAAAGGGTAGCGCCTTGAGATTAATGAAAAAATTGTTTTATAATAATTTTTCATTATATATAAATTAATTACTGTGACACTGTTTCACTTGTGGATGGATGGATGGATGGATGGATGGATGGATATGGCTGTACCCTTTAGATCGGGCGGTGGCTAGCGCCACCAAGCCGTAATACCTAATGAACCAAAAACTATATTTATTTTTTTTTCCCTTAAAAAGTGAGTTTGAGGATTCGTACTTTGCAGTGAAGAGTTTAATTTTCACTCGTGCCTTGACTTTAGCCACCAATCAGATAACCTCCTTCTAGTTAAGTCTACCCGCTTGAAGTCTATTTTGCCCTCCCGGTCCCTAAACCCCAGTGCTTTGAAAAACTCTGCGCCATCATCCTGAACTATAAGGTGAAGCTCTTTACAGAACAATATCAAGTGTTCGGCAGTTTCTTCTTCCTCTCCACACGCACTGCATACTGTGTCTACCCTTTCGTATTTGGCCCGATATGTCTTGGTTCGCAGTACTCCCGTCCTGGCCTCAAACAGTAGAGAACTACCCCGAGTATTATCATAGATCCTTTCCTTGGCAATTTCCTGCTTAAAAGTTCGATAGATCTCTAGTGCGGACTTTTTAATCATGCCCATTTTCCACATGTCAGTCTCCGTTTCCTTCACTTTCTTCTTAACCGATAGTTCTTTTTGGTTTGGCCACCTGCTGTTTTCAAAGTATTTACCAGTCAACTTCCTGGTTTGCTTCCTCCATTTTGTATCGACATTCTTCATGTACAAGTAGCTGAAAACCTTCCTAGCCCAACGCTCTTCCCCCATTTCTCTCAATCGCTTCTCAAATTTTATCTTGCTGCTAGCTTCCCTGCCCTCAAATGATGTCCATCCCATATCACCTTGTACTCCCTGATTTGGTGTATTCCCGTGAGCTCCTAAAGCAAGCCTACCTATTCCACGTTGCTTAATTTCTAATCTTGCTTGAACTTCTGATCTCATGCACAAGACCGCATTGCCGAACGTCAGCCCAGGAACCATGACCCCTTTCCATATTCCTCTCACAACATCATACCTATTGTAATTCCACAGTGCCCTATTTTTCATGACTGCTGCATTCCTGTTACCTTTAGTCGTCACGTATATTTCGTGTTCCCTCAGATACTCGGTCCCATTGCTTATACATACGCCCAGATATTTGTATTTATCTGTTATCTCTAGCGTGACCTCCTGTATTCTAAGCTCACTACCTTCGTTGTCATTGAAAATCATGACTGCTGATTTTTCCTTACTGAATCTAAAATCTAACCTATCTCCCTCATTACCGCAGATGTCCATCAATCTCTGCAAATCTTCCTTGTTGTTGGCCATTAGCACTATATCATCTGCGTACATTAATGCTGGTAGTGCCTGATCAATAAGTTTTCCTTGTTTGACTAAAGAGAGGTTGAAGCCCAGCCCACTTCCCTCTAATTTTGCCTCTAATCCTTGTAGGTACATCATGAATAATAAGGGTGGCAGAGGACACCCCTGCCTAAGCCCCCGTTGTTTTACCTCTGCAGGCTTGGATACCTGTTTTTCCTACTTTATAACTGCCTTGTTACCTTTATAGATACCCTTTAAAAGATTAGTGACTACATGTTCCACGCCTAGTGTGTCCAGTATTCCCCACAATTCCTCTTGAACCACGCTATCGTACGCTCCCTTGATATCCAAAAATGCTAGCCACAGGGGCCTGTGTTCCTTTTCTGCTATTTCGATGCACTGCGTCAGTGAGAACAGATTGTCTTCCAACCTCCTGTGTTTCCGAAACCTATTCTGCAGTTCCCCCAGCACCCCCTCATCCTCTATCCACGCCTGCAGTCTTTCCTTTATAATCTGCATCGCCAGCCTGTAGGCCACTGATGTCACTGTTATAGGATGGTAGTTGTTTATGTCAGCTTTGTCCCCCTTTCCTTTATAGATCATGCTCATCCTGCTAAGTTTCCATCCATCGGGAACTTCACCATCGATTATTATTTTGCTCACTGCCTCTCTCAAAGCCTGCTTAGACTTCGGACCTAATGTCTTTATCAGCCTAATTGGAATGCCATCTGGGCCTGTTGATGTACTACTAGGAACCCTTTTCTCAGCCCTTTCCCACTCTTGTTGTGAAAATGGAGCCATTGCACCACTTGATTCGTCCTTGTCTATTGTGGTGCATAAAGTACTTCTTTGTTGAAATTTTTCTGTCACCTTTGTTCTTATATATTCAATAGCTTCGTCCCCTTCTAGTCTAGCCCCTTGGGCTGTAGTTATAAAACTCTGCTCTAGGCTCGTCTCATTTCTTAAGGAGTTGAGATGGTTCCAAAATTTCGCAGCTGCCTTTCTATCTTTTTTATGTACTTCTGCCAGCCACTGAGCTCCCTTCTTTCTAATCTTTTCATTGATCAGAAGGGATGCATCCCTTCTACAGCTTAGAAAGGTTGCCCATTTTCTTTAAACATCATCTGTCGGTTCACCCCGCTGCTTAGCATGTCTGTGTTCCCTGGAGGCTTCCTGACGTTTTGCTATGGCTCTCTTAACTTCCTCATCCCACCAACTTTTGGGTTTGTGTCTTCGTTTCCGGGTTGACTTGTCACGCGTCTTAGCAAGCTCTAGCTCAAAGAGTCTAATTAGATTCGTGTATGTCCACACTTTCTTATTATCCTCCGTGATTACTTTCTCAATTTGTTTAGTGGCTATTTCAATTTGCCTTTCTGGATAAAAATTTTCCTGTAGTTGCTCATCTTGTCTACTTCCCACTTTCACTGCTCTTCCAAAACTTAGCTTGATACGTTTGTGATCGCTACCCAGACTTCTGGAGCCACCTTCATCTATGTGCATTTTCCTGAGCTTATCATACATCCTATGTGACATCAGTGCATAATCTATCATCGACTGAAGCCTTCTTACCTCCCATGTTGTTTGCCCGTCACACAGCTTGATACGTTTGTGATCGCTACCCAGACTTCTGGAGCCACCTTCATCTATGTGCATTTTCCTGAGCTTATCATACATCCTATGTGACATCAGTGCATAATCTATCATCGACTGAAGCCTTATTACCTCCCATGTTGTTTGCCCTTCACACTTCTCGGTACTGTTGCAAATGATCAAATCAAGCCTTTCACACATATCCATGATCATTTTGCCTGTCGGGTCGGTATACCCATCTATATCTTCTATGTGCGCATTCATGTCTCCTAGTATAATTATCTCGCACTCTCTTCCTAACTCCTGAATGTCCTTTGATATACACTCTACTATTGCCTGGTTTTCCTCTCTGGCCTTTGCTCCCGTCCACAAGTACACGAAACCAAGGAGTGTCATTTGACCTGCCACTTTCCCTTTTAGCCATAAATGTTCCTTGCACTCCTGCTTGACCCTTTGCCAGTCTGTACTTTTATGAATGAATGCCCCAATACCACCCCCCTTTCTGCTGCCTTCTGTTCTATTACAATATTCCCACGCGTAGTCCGGATTGTTCGGAGGTTGTTCCATGTCCCTGAGATGTGTTTCTACAAAACCGTATACCATCGGCCTCTCTTCCCTTAGCTGTTCTTCTATCTCTTCCCACTTCAGCCTGTTCCTACCACCCTGCATGTTAATATACCCTATGTCTGAATTGGCTCGGCGCTCGTGGCTACGTCTATTTATGCCCCGGACTCTACCTATCTTAGATATTGGTGCCACTTTGGAATCGTATCTGTCCATACCACCTGTCGAAGAGTCTCCCTGGTTGTTTTCCTTGTTACTAGCTATCCTGCACCCCGAAGGGCTCGCTTGCCCCCAAAAAAGCTACTGCGCGTCCTGCAAGTCGCCAACCCACCTCATGATCTAGCCGCCCATCGAAGTGAATTCTGTCTCGTTGAAAACCCCCCCACCTATGCACCTCTCTGTTTATTTCCACCACCTCAAAGCCTTTCTCTTGACTCATCCGCCATATCTCTTGGTTTGCGTTGACCACCGCTCTTTGCAGATTGCTATCACGCACCGGTACCTCCGGTATCGTGCATATCACTACCTGTACCTTAGGAGAAGTGGCGCACATGTCATCGACGCCTTTCGCCAGTGTGGCTGCTAGTCCTGCTGCATCTTCATTTAGGACATCGTTTAAACCGCCTGAAATTATCACGAGGTTTCGTCTATCAGCTGTCGTTTTGAGCTTTGCGCTCGCTTGCCTCATGACTGCTTCCAGCTTGCGTCCTGGGAATGCCCCTACTGCAACCCTCTTGTCACCTCTTACCCTCTCTTTGATGGCTTCTGTGCATCGATTTAAATTCGTGTCCCCGGCAATTATCACATGCTGTGACTTATCAGCTGGAGCGTTCTGCACCTGGGGGCTACTTGCACCTGTGACGCCGGCTGCTTTGTTACCTCCCTGCCCCACCACTACCTCGCTGAAGCTGGGCCTTGCGACAGTTGAACCGGCTAAACCTGTTTTTTCCAAACTTGCTTGCGTTTCCTTCTCCACCGTTCTTGTTGCCGGTTCTGGTTCTGGTTGCCGCCCAAGACTTGAAGCGCCCTCTAGGCAGCACAAACTCTTTTTGCAATATGTAATGCACAAATAACTACTTATCACATTCAAGTGTACCTCCATATATGACCAAATATGATCGGAGATAATGGGAAATTGACGGGGTACACTTCATATGGAATGACCCATATTATGTAAGGAAACTGGAGTTTCAAGGCAGCACCCCGTTAGTTATGTTCGTCTCCAAATGTTGTGTTGGCTACCTTTTGTTGCAGGGTGCGTCGACAGGTGTGGCAGTGTCGACTGCACAGCGAGTACTGATTCCTGCATCAGCTACATCAGTGCGCCCTTCACTGCCAGGTGGACAACTGGGTAGCCTGTCCACAGCTGCACTCATCTCTGCTGGGGGAACTTCCATGCAAAATGCTTTCGTGGTGGTGCCTGCTCAGTATGTGGCCCAGGTAAGCATTCGCAGCAAGATCTTTTCTTGTGTTACCCCGATTCGTGGGCTTGTGCAAATAATTGAGCACTTCAAATGTTCAAACAAGTATCGCAGTATTTGAATTTGCTTTGATTTGAGTATATATATTGATAGAAATTTTGAAGTATTCGAAATGAACGAATGGGTGCAATTAGTCTGCATGTAACCCACTTGTAATGGCGTTTTCACTGTGTTGGAGGAGTGCTGAACCGTGATTACATCTATTCAGGGAAAATCCGCACTGCAGTCAAGGCCCACTTTAAGGTCAAATGAACATATTATTCTCACATTGGTTCATAATTTTTAAGTTTAAGAGCCTCTTATACTGTTTATATAGCCTAAGTATAGCAAATTTTAGAACTTAATATGTTATATAGGTTATTACTTGCATTCTATCAAAAGTGAAATCCTGCTTTTAATCAGTGTTGCCCCCACTTAATTTGATAAAAAAAGACATTTGCGCATATCTTGTTTAAAATTATAGAAAAAATATAGTGTGTAGGATAGTTAGGTCATGACAAATATGTTCATTTTTCGTTATAATATTCAACTTCAATTAGAAGCTCAAATTTTCTAGTTTCACAAGTTTACCGATTTGACATGATGAGTGATAGTAGCTGCCTCCATTCACTGCAGTAGCATTGTTGCTAGAACTGGTTTACTGGCCTGAGCAGAAGAGCAAGGTACAGAAACACCTATATACGAGGTGTGTTAGAAAAATAATGTAACTGATTTCGTACTGACCAAAGTTCTTAACTTTTTCAAACAATGATGTTGTCCTCTTTAAAGTAGTTCCCTTGGGCAGCTATACACAGGCGGAGTCATTGCTCACACTCTTGGTTGCAGCACTGGAAGCCTTTAACTGGTATGCCTTTTAAATTGCTGGTCATAGTCTTTTGAATGACCTGCAGAGTTGCAAAATGATGTCCTTCAAGGACATGTTTCACTTTCAGGAAAAATAAAAGTCGCAAGTACTCAATTTATGTGAATAGGGGGTTGAGGAACCACAGTAATGTGTTCTGAGGTAGCAATGCACGGGATATATGAATTTTCTAGTCAGCAAACGAGGTTGTCGCATCTTAAGAAATGTAATAATTAAAGCAGAAAGTGGAGGCCGCTGTTATTGCGTGTGAACAAACTTGATGTTCTGCGAACCATGTTAGTTGCCATAACGACGGCATATGCAACAGATATCCGGTTCCATCGCCGGGCCAACGGGCAAGTGCCTTTATTACTTTATCTAGACAAACACGCCTTGCGAGTGAGTCGAAAATTTGGGCCTTCTGCCTTACCCCATCGTGAAAAAAAAAAAAAAAAAGGGTAGGGGGGAACATAGGGGTTCGAAAATTTCTTGGCCTAGTATTAATTAACCCGTGCAGAACGTCGCATAAACTATTTTCGCCACAATACACTGATAGCCTGTGGGAAAGCGTTTTAAGTATTTGGAAGGGGCTGTTAGCACTAGTCATGGGACACAGCACAGCTTGTTCAATTGCTCGTGCATATATAAGCCGCATAATCATGAATAGTAATATGATTGCTGACGTCTTAAAAAGTTACTGGCAATCTATTTGGAGCATTGTATGACTTCTGCAGCCCTAAAAAAGTCACAGAAATCCGTTCGCCAGTTCTTTTTTTCAACACCCCTTCCCCTCAGTTTTACTAACCTAAAGGTTGCCAGATGGCAGATCCACATTTGAATCCTCAGTCGATCAAAGGATTTGACAGGAGGGACAAATGCTAATGTGGACTTCATTATTGTAAGCTGAGTGGTGTGGATCAAAATGCTAGTTTTATTTAAATATCAGTGCAGATATTCTACTCAGCACAATTTAGGGGATGTTGAATGCTTTGTGCATATTTTTTTCTAAATGTAATATTTTCTTTCATACTACTCGAAATTTAGTTTCGCGTGATAAAAACTTAGTGTCTTTTTTTCCGTAACCTGCTCCAAACTTGGATTTTAGTGCTCCAGAAGTAGCATTTTGCTGCTCTAAGAATTGCTCCAAATTCTATTTTTGCTGCTGCACCCGAGCATACGTTGTTGCCAGTCTCATTACTTTTCCAACACACCTCGTACTGCTTTCAGTTTCAGCAAAGCACGCAGGCGGCGGCAACCCCGTCATCAAGCACATCACGGGTGGTGTTTCAAACGGGCACTGGCCTTCTGAGCAGCTCTGGAGCATTTGTTCCTATGGCAACCACCACTCCACCTACCACAACCAGCGTCTCAGCGGGACCTGACCACAGAGAACCACCTCCAGTAGCAGTTCCTTTCGTTAAGCCTCAAGTCAACGGGTGTGTGCTAATCCTTTCAAGCTTTGTTTGCAGAGTGCTTATTTTTCAATCCCGAGACATAGGCTTGTGCGAATAGTGAATTCTAGGTTCGAAGCAAATTCGAAGCGAATAGTGATTTTGGTCGAATGATTTCGAATCGAATTCAAATAGTCTATATATGACATATATAGAAAAATGGGCATATTATTATCATGACCTAACTAACCTACACTATATTAAAAAAAATTAAAATAAGGCATCTGTGCAAATGCCATTTTTCTTTGTTCAAAGGAAGTCAAAACATCTTTGTGTAGTAGCAGGATTTGTCTTTCAATAGAATGCAAGTGATAACCTGTAAAATCTTATTACATATAAAATTTACTATACTTAGAGCTTAAAAGCTGGCATAACAAGCTAAAAAAAAATGATGAATCAATGTAAGGGTAATATGTTTATTTAAAAGGACCCTGCAACACTTTTTCAAGTATCCATGGATTGGACTCACTAAAGGAGCTTATTGCTTCACGAATTCACCGCCCAAAAGATTTTTAGAATCTGCGTGGTATAAGCGCTGTTACAAAGTATTGCCGCACGCTGTGATTGCTTCTCCCTTCTTTTATCCCGACAAAAGCGCCGGTCGAAAATGCTGTGGGCCTGTGTGCTCAGATTCGGGTGCACATTAAAGAACACCAGGTGGTCAAAATTTCCGGAGCCCTCCACTATGGCGTCTCTCATAATCATATGGTGGTTTGGGGACGTTAAACTTCACATATCAATCAATCAACGAAAGTGTTATAAGCTAAGCAGGGAGGGATGGCACGGGGGATGTAAATGCGTCACACGTGCCTCGTGACCTTGAGCATGAATACATTGCTTTTCAATGCGATCGCATACGCACGTGTGCACTAGTCGCAATCCCAGTAACGACAAACTCAAATCAGTAACGACCATGCTCAAATCAGCCGATCGCTGATACAATGGCTGTGATGAGTGATTTTTGAGCTTGTAGTGCAATTTGTCGACAGAAAAAAAGTCAATTTTAGACTGACTTTGAGAATTTATTGGGCATTTCTGGCCGTGTGCAGCACAATAATATTCTGGTCACGTGTTCTCGGGAGCATAGACTACGATCGGCAGCGTTTTCCGACCATGCTCAAAAAAAGTGTCGCAGGGCCCCACTTTTGATGAAAGGCTTCGCGGCAGACCGAATTTCCCCTGGATAGGTGCTTTCAGAGCTTAGCACCCCTACGCTAACCACCTTTACAGGAGGTTACGTGCAGACTAATATATACTGTTATGTTTATTGCAAATAATTCGAAATTTTCAATAATTTAAATTTGAGTCAAAGCAAATTCGAATACGATACTATTTGTTTGAATATTCAAAGCATTCGAATATTCGCACAAGCCTACTAGATGAATGTGTCTCTGCAGTTATCGCTAAATTTTCTTGGTAATCTTCTTACCTCGTTCAACATTTGCTTACCATTTTAAGTCTCCTTGACAACCTCAGCTTGTCACTTGCGACCTTCACATATCGATATATGACAGCCTTGACTTGTTGAATGGATACTTTCTGAATGGATTTTATTGAGTGTAGGTTATAAGAAATGGTTTTTTGATGTAGTACATAGCTATGGTGTGCATAAATTTATATGGTAAGAAAAATTCGGCAGATACCATGTACCTTGGTAATTGACGTTATGCGAATCATGCGGAGGGAAGGTGCCCGTGTTGTAATTTTTCATTGAGCGACGCATCATGAAATGATGCAAAATATATATACATATAAATTTTGGACACACAGACATATGTTGAAGAGTTACAGACGTTTATATACTAACCAGTTGTTTGCACTTGTGCAACGATGCTAACAGGAACATGAGTATTAGGCTAGCAGCACGAGAAGCGGCCAGCTGATATGAAGCGCTGCTGCTTGCGAGGGTGGTAGCCCTTGACATTGCTACATAAATAAACTTAAGCGCCTAGCACCTAACTACAATTGACGTTAGCCCGACGTGACGGCTGTATCCTAGGAACGCATATGTAATGTTTATAAAATTGGATAGCCACCACTGCAACCACAATTGGCGTTTCACAATTATTAGGGTGTATTTGAAAAGTAGTTCCGAGACCTGGCGTGGCTCTGTGGTAGAATGCTTGATTGCCACGTAGAATGCTTAGGTTCAATTCCTGCTGGGACCCTGACATTTATTCTTCGCATTCGTCGGGTCAACGCCACTGATGTCAGGTTTTTTCGTAACGCTCACGCATTAAAATTGCCCATGTGTTTTCTCGTCGTTCCTGGGTGTACAGTGAAACCTCGTTAAACCGTAGTTGGCGTACGTACTAAACGATAGTACTGCTTAACCGAAACAGCGTCAGGTCGCTCACTTACCTGTCAAAAAAGAAACCTTCAGGGAGTGCCATGAAAGAACAAAAAACGTGCAGTAATTTATTAACTTCGCTTGACAAAGTCTGTAATCTTCATTTGACGACGCGGCTGCCTAGCAGCAACGACAGCTGCCTCAAACTCACTTATGCTGTGAGCCAGCTTTTCCGCCAGCCCCCTCTTCTCGACAAATACCCGCATGACGCTGACGCATTGCGCAGCTTCGGCCACTGTCGAACCTGGATGACCCGTGTTGTCGCTTTTCATGTCGTCCTCATCACTATCATTTGGCGACACTTCGACAACCGAGGCAACAGTGACGTCGTCGGACATGTCCGGAGATGTCTGCACATCGCTGTTTGCATCTCTGAAGTCGAGGAAGGAAATGCCTTCCGTAACACCCTGCCGCTCCAGCACTTCAGCTCGCAGAGTTTTGCAAGCTTCGTCTACGATGTCCGAAGTCTGGTCGATGGTGTCACTGGCGTCATCTGCGTTGCCCGCACACACACTGAAGCCAGCACGCTTGAAGCAATTTTTAACTGTCGTTGCTTCAACCTGCCGCCACGAGTATTCGAGCAGGTCAATCGCGCCAATCAGATCGATGGAGAATAATTTGCCACATTCAATGGCGAGAAGAAATCTGCGCAGCAGATTCTTCTTGTAGAGCTGTTTTACAGCTCGAATGATGCCTTGGTCTAAGGGCTGGGCAATCGCTGTTGTGTTCGGTGGCAGAAACGGCAACTTCACAGCCGTCAGGTTGTCTAAAATAATAACAACTCTTCTGTTCTTAGCCGCAAAACCACGATCGATGAGGCGCACGTACTCCTCAAAGAGTTTTGCTGTCATCTATTTTTTGGTGTTGTTGCGATAGATGACGCCTGATGGCAGCCGGGCTCCTTTGAAACATCTAGTCTTCGCCGACTTTCCAATCACGAGGAACGGAGTTTTGTAGGTTCCAGTCATGTTTACGCAAAACGCCACTGATATTCTGTCTTTTGCATGCTCGCCGCCGGTGCACGTCTCGCCTTTGAACGCGAGCGTTTTGTCTGGTAGCAGCTTAAAGAATAGCGCCAATTCATTCACATTAAAGATGTCATCAGGTGCGTAGTCTTCTAAGATGTTCTTCAGCTGACCATTTTGCCACTGCTCTGCGCCATCCACGTCAGCAGCAGCACCTTCTCCCGAAACAGTCCTCCTGGTAATGCCGTGCCTCGCCTTAAATCTGGCCAGCCAGCCATTGCTGCACACGAAGTTGTCATGGTTGAGTTGCGAGGCAAAAACCAGGGCCTTCTCCACAAGCAGGGGTCCGCTGATAGGCAGATTTTTTGACCGTGCTGCTTTTAGCCACTTCACCAGTGCCTCCTCTACATCCGAAAATGCCGAACCGCGTAGCCAGCACCTTTTCGCAGTTGCAGTACTGCCGAGCAACTTCTCTCTGGAATTCCAAATTCCACACACCGTGGTTAACGGCAGGTCCTTTTCGCGTGCCAGCGCCGATTTTTTCGTGCCACTTTCAATAGCACGAATTATGTCCAATTTCTCCTCTATTTTCAGCACTCGATGCTTTTGTCCCAGCTTTGGCATGACGCAAGTACGAAGCAGCACAAGCACACATACACAACACGTGAAAAACGACGCGAGAGCTGTACGGCACAGATCAACGAGAGAGCACCTATGCACGGCGCCAAAAGAACAAAGAAAGCAAAGCAAGCGCACACCGTGTTTGCGTGTTTGTGCAAAGCGCCATCGCGTGGACAACACCACAAGCCTAGCCGGCCGAGTGCTTCTTGTTGCAGAAAAATTCAAGAGATGGCGCTCACCAACACAGCCGCTATCATTATCAACACAAACAAGCGAGGCGTGTTTCAATCTTTGGGGCTTGCTGTTCTGTCGGGACACCCAGTGGGGGACGACATGCCGCGGCGAGTGCGCAACGAAAATTGGAAAAACTACTTATTAACCGATATATACGCGATAAGCTGGTACAGCTTATGCGGATACAAAATGCATTATGTTCAATGGCCGCCGAGTCGGGGATTTGAATTCACTACTTTTAAAACGAAAGTACTGTTTACGCGGGTACGTTTTAACGAGGTTTCACTGTAAAACTAAGTGTTGGTAGTGGCACATACTCGCATACCAGTGGCACATACCCACCCACGGGTATATGCTACTGTTTGGCGGGAAGTGTTTGAAGATGTACGCGACGTGATTGTGATATTATTTATGTCTTGACCAGCGCGTCATGTTTGTCAGACCAGCTTACCCTCTCATGCTGATTTTGGTTCACGCCAAGTTAAGGAAGTGATCACGAGAGCACCCAGATGTAAATTGATAGACACGCATATAGATGACAAAAGTGCTTGCAGTTTGCAAAGAAATGCTTTGCATATAAAATAAACATTCATCGTTGCCTCACAATATTTGGCAGTCAACTTTTGTGTACGAGCCTTCCCTTTCATCTTCATGTTACTTTTTATGAAATTGCAGGAATGTTTTATGATTGTATTGGCAATTGTCTATCAGTGAAAATATTCATTCTAGGCTTGTTGGCTGGTCCGGTGATGCTCGATTCTTTACAGGACACCATGTGAAGACAACTCTCGGCCTCGAAAGCCGTGCAACTGTACGAAGTCCCAGTGCCTCAAATTGTAAGGAAAAAAGAAACTGTTTTCTAATTTAGGATTGGCTGTTTTCACAGTTGGATGGCTGTCTAGCCCCAATAGTTTATAGGCACTCGCATCTATCTAATCGTTGTTAGCCCTATGGCTATTCCATGCTCTTGTGTGGAAGAGCGTCAACTAGTAACTACTTTCAGTGAATTAGGGTGTAAAAAAGTCTGACATAGCAAGTAGTTGTTGCAGGAGTGTACATTGTGTTTCCAATGCTCAAGTTTTTTAGCAAAGTTTACTCACGAACGGCTACCTACTTTCTCACTAAAATAAGGATATCTCTGTAGATTGTCATTTATTACGTGAGAACTAATGTGGTGATTGCTTCATTTTGCCATTCTCTAGCATAGAGAAAGATTATCTCATGTCCTTCTATAAGCATTTCCGCTAAGTGCTATGTTAATGTTAAGTGATGCATGAACTGACTGGCACTTGTATTAAAATGAGTGTGAAAATCATAAAGTTGAAGAAAGCTTAACGGATGCCTGTGCTCATTTAATAGCTCAGTCCAGCTGCACAGCCCTCCTGTATATCCTTTTTACTAATCTTTTGTGTACAGTAAATGCTTGTTGATTTGACACTGGTTATTTAGGAAAATTAGATGATTACAATGTGTTCTCTGGTCCTAGCAAGCATATGCAAAAATGGAAGTGCTGCACCAATTGCGCTATTCTGCGCCAATGTGACCCGCTGCGCATAAATGGAAATTTGAGCGTACAAGACCAAACTTAGCAGAGTTTTATCATTGACCGAGCCATGGAGTTTTCTAATTATACACTAGAGGAAACTCTGGCACTAGTGTCTATGGGATCTGTAATGCATGGCGCTTCAATGAGCATGGGAATGATGTACATGGATTTGCGTAGTCTCCGTACTTTCACCTCCGTTTGGGTTCGCGTGGCTTGGAGCTGCTTCGTCACGAGTTGTCAAACAGCAAATGTTCAGCAGTTACACTTCACCACCTTGAACTTTTAGGGGCACCAATTTAAATCTGGTTAAGAAGCTCACAACGATCCCTTCGTTTATTTGAAGCAGAACTGAAACACAACAATAAATAAAGCCACAAGTGCATTCGAAGTCCGCAAGCACGAATACTAGGCAAGTTCATGTACTACCCATCATTCCCATGGTGGCTGAACGATCGCAATGCCAGAGTCACCTCTAGTTATTTTAGGAAACTCTCTGAACCGGGCAACACGCGTTAGATACACAAAGGACGCAGCCGAATCCATATCCTGTGTACTTCAATCATGTCGTATTCCAGTTCGAGCATGAATCTTGCGTGAATATTGCGCCACGTGAACAGAATGCGCTAGTCTTGTTTGTGGGCAGACCACGTTACGTGACTCTTATTTTTTTACCAGCAAACTGTTTAAAAAAAACTTGTCGAGCTGTTGCCAAGAACTGCCAAGCATAGCACGTGCTCTGCGATGGAAACACTGGAATCTTAAAACGTGGAAAAAAAGTTTCATCGCAAGGCCAAAACAATGAATGTATGAGCAATAAATTGTAATGTTATTCGAAGTGAGGATGGCAGCTTTATAACTCTTGCGAGTCCAATATTGCGCAATTGTATGAAATGCTGGTGTAATAGAATACGTCCGTTCCTGGGAGGAATGCCCTTCTTGCATAGTGTCTTTGTGTTGAAAGCGTAGCTTGTAGAAGGGTGTACGAGCTGTGCGCTGATGCTTGGCGAGGTAACACTCGGGCCTGTGATTACGATTGTGCCCTTAGAATTAAACGGCTGCTTGAGGAAGCCTCCCTGCTCTTCCTTACGTTTTTTCGTGCTTGTTAAAGACAGGCGGTGTACTTTACTTGAAACATGACGGTGACAGCAAAAACTTGTATAGAGTGTCCATATAATTGTTATCACAATAAAAAAAATAAGCTTTCTGAGGCCGCGGCGAGCATATTGATAATCTATATTTTTCTCCCGCTTCTCATGTCAGCTGTGGTGCTTTAATGACTGGATTAAAAGGTTTTAAAAACATCTTTATAGAGCATTATTGGGTTTAAAATGAAGGTAACTTTTATTAGCTCATCTCTAGTCTTCAGTTGCTCAGTTGCTGTTCATGTGGGATGCTGTATTTTATTCACACATTAACATTTTATCATTCGTCTTAGCTTTAAGCCATCCAGAGCATCACTTAAGTCTTGTTTTCTTTGAGGTGCTGTGCTTACAGCTGTGAAGTTATATATATATGTGTGTGTGTGTGTGTGTGTGTGTGTGTGTGTGTGTGTGTGTGTGTGTGTGTGTGTGTGTGTGTGTGTGTGTGTGTGTGTGTGTGTGTGTGTGTGTGTGTGTGAGAGAGAGAGAGAGAGAGAGAGAGAGATAATATATGGTAGCTCAGTGGTAGAGCATCTAACACCTTATTCGAAGGTCGCAGGTTCAGTTCCTGCTCATGGCAAGTTATCTTTTCACCCACTTTTCGTTCTTCCCATTTACATTATAATTGGTCTAATCTATACATTCCTTCGCATTATTGTCTGTTAGATCTCATCTCATTAATATTGTGTTGAAAACACGGAAGAACGAGCCCTTAGGTGTATACACTTCTTTCCTTATATATAATATATATATATATATATATATATATATATATATATATATATATAGGGAAAGAAGGGAAAGAAGGGAAAGAAGTGTATACACCTAAGGGCTCGTTTTTCCGTGTTTTGACACAATATTAATGAGATCTAACAGACAGTAATGCCAAGGAATGTACAGGGGAAGTTATTAGAACCAATGGAATGTAAATGAGAAGAAAGAAAAGTGGATGAAAAAATAACCAGCCGTATATATATTTAATTTTTGGTAAGTCTGGTCGCTTCATCAGTCTTGAATTTTTGTAAAAACCACTAGAAAATTCTCACTTTACCAGAAAGTAAAAAGACTTATTAGTGCTGTGTGGTCCTAGAAATTTGCTCCAAAACTAACTTGCATTGCTTGAAAACACACTTTTTGGTGCTCCAAAACTCCCATATTACCGCTTCTAAGCTCCTTCAAAACTGCATTATTCATGCTCCCTGATCTGCTCCAAAAGAATGAAGCCCACTTCCACCCCTGCATATGTATTGTAATGGCATCAAACTCTCTTTAATGGGGCACTAAAGAGATACAATGACTTGGTTTAGATTGACAAACTGCACTCTGACAACTCTAGTGCCATAAGCATACCTGCCCCACCGCGGTGGTATAGTGGTTAAGGTACTCGGCTGCTGACCCGCAGGTCGCGGGTTCGTATCCCGGCTGCGGTGGCTGCATTTCCGATGGAGGCGGAAACGTTGTACGCCCGTGTGCTCAGATTTGGGTGCACGTTAAAGAACTTCAGGTGGTCGATATTTCCGGAGCCCTCCATTACGGCGTCTCTCATAATCATATGGTGGTTTTGGGACGTTAAACCACACATATCAATCAGTCAACATTGTGCGCAAATAGGTGTGTATTTAGGGCCTCCTTACTGGCTCTCAATTCAGTATATTAATAAAAAAAGGCATCACGTACAGGCAAGTTACTTGTATGAGATTTTTCTAAAGTGCAGAAACTATAGTTTTTTTTTTTTTTACGTGAACTTGATAGCTTGAGTATTATTTGTTCCAACAAATGATGAGGCTTATACATGCCATAATTTCGTATTTAGGTTGTCCTTAATTCTGCTTCCCTTTCTTGCCTTTGATGGATAAATACTGCTGGATACCAGTAGTTCCTGTGATAGTATCACGTTAGATGTTTAAAAATTCATGGGTGCAGTTGAATATCAAAGTGCATTGAGTGCACTCAGCCTATTTTTGCATTCCATGGGTCAGTTTTCAAGCTTGCCATGGTACCGCCGTCTTTCTATGTCACTTTCTGATAAGTGCTTCTCGCAAACATAGTCGGCTGCCATGCGCTCTCAGCCTTTTCTCGGTATTTCGTGAGCATATGCATTTCGGACCTCTCTGGGTCACTTGGAAGATTGCTGGATGCGTAGCCACTGTTGTAGTTCCTCTCAACAACTTTGCACCCTGTCGTACAGATGCGCTCACCTTTGTTGAAGCAGGAAAAGTGCATGCAGAGGGCAATCAGCCACCGCTATCGGCGTAATTCGGAAGCACACAAGAGTGCTAAAGAGAGAAAGAAAGTTTGCAGATTACAATAGCTTGTTTTCCAAAGGCCACCACCTTCAGGCACGTGCACATAAGATCCAAGTGAGGAACGTATGAGTGCGGCAGACACACTGCTCGAGGGCCCCTACTAGTAGGTGATTGCAAGTTCTCTACAGCCTGCAATTAGGATAATGTCTATTAATAACAGCATTTAAAATATGTCTCCTTTAGTTAATGACATCACAGATGGAAATCTGGAGAAATTTAGAATATACAAGGTGGTATACAGTTGTTTTGCCTTGCATTCATAGAAGAACATGTAAATGATGGCAATAAGCCGGGAGCATCATTTCTCATACATCAGGGAAAATCACATTGCCTCTGTAATGCTATTGGGCTGCCCTCATGCGCTGTGGCGGCATGGCAGATTCTCTTTCTTGAAGACTTCTTTCTTTGTGCTTTCGATAACCTAGCTTTTGATTAATTCAGATATTTTCAGCGGTCCCGTGAAATCCTAATTAACAAGCTTTTGCTGTGTTATATGAATGTCTATATCTCAGTTCTTTCTTGTGCTGAATCTTTCCTCTTGTTTGCAGGTATTGTGACTGCTTTGCCAATGGAGAATTCTGCCACAGCTGCAACTGCACTAACTGTTTCAATAACCTGGAGCATGAAGAGGAACGTCAAAGGGCTATCGCAGCCTGTTTAGATAGGAATCCCAATGCATTTCGTCCCAAAATTGGTTCGTACCAGCTCTCTCTGAGTAGCATTCCCCTGCCCCTTCCCTTTTGAAAAATTTTGTTGCTTTGTCGAGTGTCTCTTCTGGTACAGACCTGCGCAGCTAAAGTGTTTTTCTATTATTATTATGCAGAGTGTTTCTTTTTAAGCAGTAGAAATCTTTAATACAAGTCCTATGACAGTAAGGTCTCTGTTGTTTTTGCACACAAACTCCACATTGAGGCTGAGATACTTTGCTGCAGTTAACATTACACTGATGCAACTAATTAATGAAGACTTGCTGATTAACATTTTAATTATTTATTTGAGGTCAGTTGTTCATATTAAAGTTGTAGTGCTTGTCAGTTTATGGCATACATACTGTATTTACCTGAATCTAGACTGACCTCAATTCTAAGCCGACACTCAAAACTTCGAAGCCCGAAAAAAGAAAAAAAAAAAGAAAAACTTACCTTGAATGTAGGCCAAGCAAAAACAGCATTCACAAAGAGAAAACATTTATTGAACATGAAGATGAAACAAAGCAGTTGCTTCATGATGCAATTATAATAACTCGAGAAAGATACAGCTGCCAGTCCTGTTGCGTGTGGTTCTTGGCCGTAATTTTTTTTTCTTCGCACTGTTTCTAGTTATTTGCATCATAAAGATGTCGCGTTTGCTAATGCCACGCTCATTCTGAGTCGTCGTCGCTGCTTCCCTCATCGTTCGCTTCTTTGTTGCTGTCTTCAAACAGTGCGCAATCCTCAGTGCCATCAAGCACACTGGATATGCCGTTTTTCTTAAAAGAGTGCACGCTCAAATTTGTCGTCCCACGGTGCAGCCCCTCCAGCAATGCACACTTTTTGTGTCCACTCCGAAGTACCACCCGACTTGAACGTTGGACGACGACTCCGCAGCTAGGACAACTTTCCTTTTTTAAGCGGCACTATAATGACATTGCCTGTTTGGCGCCATTGAGCTACGTCACACACAGACCACTCGAAGTGCGACTCGAAATGACAAACGGCTCATGGCTCGCCTTGAGATCATGGCTCACCTCAACAATCGCCACGAAGATAAAATGGCGGCCTCCAGTGTGTACTTCAGCCAGTTGTTGACTTGGCTACGAAAGGCTATAATACCGTCTAGGTGGCACCAGTTGTGCACCTCTTTTTTCTATGAAAAATGGTTCGTTTTTTAGAATTCAAGAATCTAAGCTGACCCTGGAGATTAATGCAAAGAAATTCGAAAAAATAAAATTAAAAAAAAACTATCACCCTAGATTTCAATAAATATGATATCGTAAACATACTGGCATACTACGTAATCAGGACATCAACAAACTCTACGTAAACATACTGCAAGAAATCTACAGCAGATCCGCATCCATCATAGTTCTTCATAAAGAAAGTGGCAGAATCCCCATAAAGAAGGGTGTAAGGCCCGGAGGCACGATCTCTCCCATGCTATTCACCGCATGTTTACAGGAGGTTTTCAGGACCCTATATTGGGAAGAGTTAGGCATAAGAGTTGTAGAGTATCTTAGTGACCTGAGATTGATGCTTCATTACTTGTCATAGGATCAGAATATTGCTCTGCAGCATGCGTGTGAAATTATTTTCTAACTTACCATCTGCAGGCAAAGGCAAAGAAGGAGACCTTGAGCGGCGTCATACCAAAGGCTGTAACTGCAAACGATCTGGTTGCCTGAAAAACTACTGCGAATGCTATGAGGTAAGAGACGCAGGCTGGTGTAGGCATTGATTATCATTTGTGTTGCGGCTTTGGCCAGCTGTCGGTGCCTGAACGGGCCTTAACACTTTTTGTATCGTGCCCAAGGGAATCAACAGCCTGCTATCGATGGTTCGAATTGCCCAATACTGTTCATGGACACACTGTATGATCTGTTGTGAAAGAGAATAACTATAGCTTTCTTCTTTATGTGGTTAGCTTTTTTCCCATGTTGCCACGATTTTTTAAAGTGTTCTGGAGTTGTGCAATCGTTAAGTGGGAAAGGGAAATGGCTTCCGCCAGATGCGGCATGCACACGCATGCTTTGGAATTCTGCAGATATTGGCATACTACGTGTTCGCAGCTATTTTTGTCGATTTAACGAGCAGCAGCGAGTCTGAGGATGCTGCCTTATCGTCGGACCTTGACTCTGAGAGCAATGACTGGCTAAGGTACTCGGCTGCTGACCTGCAGGTCGCGGGATCAAATCCCGGCTGTGGCGGCTGCATTTCCGATGGAGGCGGAAATGTTGTAGGCCCGTGTACTCAGATTTGGGTGCATGTTAAAGAACCCCAGGTGGTCGAAATTTCCAGAGTCCTTCACTACGGCGTCTCTCATAATCATATAATGGTTTTGGGATGTTAAACCCCACAAATCAACCAATCAATCAATCTGAGAGCAATGACGATGCAAACCAGCTGGGAACATCAGTCAGCTTTATTAATATGGCCTTCAAGAAACATTATTGTGTGTTCGAAGTCAGCCTGAAAAACTGAAATTTGTTTAGTTTAATCAGGTTTGGACATAAAATACAGGAAATATCTTCAGAGCCCATGTGACTCCTCAACATTTAATATTGCAAACCCCATTTAAGGGAGGACACGGGTTGTGGAGACCGAAAAATCGCAAAAAAAACTCCTTTTTTTGTACTGCTTTTTTGAAATCTACAGCTACTAGTGCACTTGTACCATGAATTTTATGCTTATAATACAGTCGACTCCCGGTAATTTGAAGTCGCTTAATTGGAAGTTTCGGTTAATTAGAAATGAGCAAGTGGTCCCATCAGTTTTGCATGAAATCGTATAGAAAAAAATGCTCGATAATTCGAAGTTAAAAACCCATAATATTGGTTAATTAGAAGTTTTTTCAATCGACAGTGTCGTCGGGACCGTAATTTTACAGTAAAATGGGGAACTTTTCTCATGCCAAAACATCTGCCGGACCGCGCTGGTGTCTTCGTCATCACTACTGTCCGCAGCGCCACAGATCTTGAAGCGGCAATCTTTTTAACGATGGCGAATCGCATCGGCGGCATCGACTGACTCTTTAGTTGACTTTTGTCGAGACTCGAGTGTGTCACCGCGTCACCCACGCGCTGGGTTGATTCCACACGTGTTTCCGCGCTTCTTATTTTGAGTGTTGTGGTGGTGACGTACGTTTAATAATGGCAACTCGTGGCCCTTACCGAACGCTAGACCTAGCGACGAAAGTCGAAGTCTTGAAGGAAGTTGACCAGGGAGGCACCGCCAAACAAGGCATTGCAAGAAAGTACGGCATTAAGCCTAACACGCTGTCGACTTTCATAAAGAATAAGCGCTCAATATTGGATGCGTTTGAAAGTGAAAAATTCAAGACATCGTGGAAGCGGATGCGCACCGGCGCCTACCCCGAGTTGGAGGAAGCACTGCTGATTTGGATCAGAGAGGCACGAAACAACAAACTTCCTCTCAGTGGTGAAGTCGTCACGGCAAAAGCGTCATCGCTTGCTGAAATGTTGGGCATCAACGACTTCGCTGCTTCGGATGGGTGGCTTACCGCGTTTCAAATCATCGCCACGACTTGATTTTTAAAAGCGTGTGTGGGGAGAAGGCGTCAGTCGATGAGGAAACGTGTCTGACATGGAAAGCGGGCAAGCTTCGCGAGTACCTCGAAGAATACCAGCCGGCAGACATTTTAATGCAGACGAGACTGCGCTTTTTTATCGGCTGCTACCGGACAAGACCCTGACATTTAAAGACGACGACTGTTCTGGAGGCAAAAGAAGCAAAGAGAGAGTGTCAGTGCTAGTCGCGGCGAACATGACTGGCACAGAACGGTGTTGCCTGCTTGTGATCGGGAAGGCTGCCAAGCCTAGGTGCTTTAAAGGCGTGAAGACGCTTCCTGTGGATTATGCCTCGAACAGAAAGGCGTGGATGACATCCGATATATTTAAGGACTGGATCACCAAACTCGACCGCAAGTTCGCGCAATCAAGCCGTAAGGTGTTGTTCCTTGTGGACCAATGTAGTGCCCACATGAACGTACCTGCCTTGAGTGCCATCCGTCTTGTGTACCTGCCTGCAAACATGACGTCCGTGTTGCAGCCCATGGACCAGGGCATAATAAAAAATGTGAAGGTATTGTATAGGCAGCATCTCGTCGAGCGCATGCTTTTGTGCATGGACAACTCGTCACAATACGAGGTGAATTTGCTTAGTGCCATCAACATGCTAGCGCGAGTTTGGACCCGCGTGAAAGAAGAAACCATCGCCAATTGTTTTCGGGCCCCATGGAAAACTCGGGGGATGCTTCTCCTTGTGCGCCAGTGGAAGTGCAAACAAATGAGCTCGACGACGGTAGCTTTCGCGCCGCTCTCTGTGACGTCCGTTTTGACGAGTGTGTCGCTGTGGACAGCAACGTTGAAACATGCGGTCAACCAACGTTGACAAACGAGACTGCACGTTAGTGTCAGTTGTTATAAAATAATTAGAGCCTCAGTTGTAAGTGTGTGACCCACGTATTATTTCGCAGAAGGCAGTATAGTCCAGCAACTATGGAACTGCCCCCGTTTGCTGTTTCTTTCTCGATGAATATACATATTTCCTCAAAGATGTGGAGGCCACATTATACACTCAGACCTCCTGATAACAAAGTGACACCTGTCTCATAAATATTTCATTATATCCGAAAATTCGTCATAAATATACATTTGCAGCACTGTATGCGACAAGGCTATTCTTCATTTACTTCGTTATAACCGATAATTCGTTGTATCCGTGTTATATCGAGGTTTGAGTTTAAATAGCCAGAGTCAGCTGCTCTGCATATCTTGGAGGATTCGTTTCGGAGCTTGAAACCCACGTTGGTGCAAGATCATCAGGCCTCGTAACTGCCGTTAGCTAAGTGTGCACTGCTTTACATTTTTTGGGGGGGATGGGCTCTATGGGAATATCTCCAAGCTACATTTTCGTCATTTTTCTATCTCAATCTACTCGATCCTCTTGCTTTACAGCCTCGTGCATCTCGTTATCACGCTGGTCCGCGAAAGAAAGCGCCGCCCTTTTAGACTGTCTGCTCCTCTTTGTGGGAACCCCCTCGTCTCTCTGGGAACCCCCTCGTCTCTCTGGGAACCCCTCGTCTCTCTGGGAACCCCCTCGTCTTTCTGGGAACCCCCTCGTCCTAGTCATGCGTTCTGTTCTGTGTGCTTGCACAAGCACCTTTTTTGCACCAATCATGTTGTATAGCTCTTGTGCCCAGTGTCTGAAACCTGGGTCTTGCCCGAGGCTAGCGATGCTCTGGGCACTTGCGTGATGGGCGCTCGATAACCTTGACAAAACGTATTTTATTTAGTGCCTTTCCAGACGTTGTAATGAGTTTCAGTGGCGAACCTGACATGTTTTGGGAAAACTGAGATAACTCTACGAGATGTAGGGTTATACATTTGTGTTGTACATAGGTGGCAGCCGACACCGCATGCACGTTGTCTGTTAAGAGTGCAGTGTTTTAGAGTTTGCCTGCTTGTTTCAAGTTATCGTGGGTGCTACTTGAGTTAGTGCAGATTTCTTTTACATCATTCCTTATTTCATGGGTGATTTGCACAGAATTCTAGTAGTATTCCCGCTTCCCCTCCGTGAGTGTAATGAAAAAAAACTTGTTTCTTGCCAGGGAGGGACAAAAAATGTCTTTGCAATGTAGCGTGCAGTCAAATAAAGTTTGAAAAATGGACTTGCTGGTGACCTTTATCTAGCGAAACAGTGTGAAAGCCTCGATATGCACGAGTCTAGTTTCTCAAAACGTTTCACCAAATTCACGGAAAGCCACATCTCGTGTGTTTGTCGCTGATGTCTGCCATTGTGTTCTCAAGAGACTGCAGTGGACTGCTTTTCTTTTTTTTTTCGTAAGAACTCAACAAAAAAAAGTTTACCAGTTTGAACAGCAAGAAAGATGGATGTTGTTCTGGTGATGGAATGTAGGATTGTCAGTAAAAGAAAGTTATTGATTCATGAATACACTTTCCTAGTGTAGGAAAGAAGTTCAAATTTAAGGGCCCGTTCTCATTGTTAGACAAAATATTTGTGAGAACTGACAAAGATGCCAAGAAAAGTATAGGGGATGTTAGTAGTAGTGAGCATAGGTCTGCAAACTTGCTCACTAGTCGACTCGCTCACACCCTCCCAGACTTAAATTGAGCTGAGAGTCTGGGACTGAGAGAGTCTGTCAAGTTAAACTATGGTGAGCATGAGCTCGATTGAGAAAAATTTCAGTGAGTGTCAGTCCGGTTGAGAAAAACTGAGTACGAGTGTGCCATATGGGTGACGTATATTTCATGAAATAGTCTGAGCGAGCTCCGCATAGTTTTGCCGACCTGTCGTCTCATCCGCTCAACTTTAGCATTGCTGTCGCCCTTATGTCGGCTCAGGTTTATATGTCTATTCACACATCGATGCAGTAGCGTTCATACGCCAGCTACTTGAAAGACGTTAGTGAGTGACTCGTGAAACGGTGCTAGCAGACTAATTTCATGAAGGTGATGGCAGGCGTTTTCAGCGAATGGAGCTTTGTGTAACTGGAAGTCGACCTTTTCACATGTTCAAAGTAAGTTTCTGCTATCACAGTTGTAACGCTCAGATTTCAGCTGCTTTGTGGATGCTAATGTCAATTTGTCTCCAAAAACGCGCATCAGTGCTGTACTTCAAAGGAATAGTTTAGGCATTGGGACTGAACTTTAGCCACTGAACGTAATTTGGGAGGAATGAAACAGTAGAGTTGGGGGAGTAATTGTCCCATTCCTCTCTGTTCTGTTCCTTCACCATGTGACTCAAAAGTGGCAATGTGAAGGACGAAGTATATAACAATACGCAGACGCTATTTGGGTGTTCCAGCGGAGTGCAAATACATGAATATAAATATACAACATACACACACACCATATGCCACAATATATACATATATATACACATATATCCAATACGCATATGCATATTATCCATGAACATCCAATCACACAAAAAAAAAAAATGAAAGGAGAAAGTCACACCGAAAACAAGATGGACACTGAAGAAATACGAAAAACATAATCATGAAAACAACGTCAGAAAGAGATAACAGAAGTAAGAACACATTGCATGCGCATAAACATTTGCCTATACCCCCGCAAGACACTTGAAATACAAAAAAAGGAGCACTAAAGATAAGAAATGAAAGATTAATCAACATGACAATGGCGAACATCAAGTAGATATATGTTCAATGGAGTCTGTGCTTATTAGTTGTGATAAATGCAGATTATTCCAATCGTTTACAGTGCGCGGAAAGAAAGAATATTTGAAAAGGTTAGTTCTGGTCTTATATGGTGTTAAAGAAAATTCGTGACGATGCCGTGTTCGACGTGCTGCAAGGGGTGTCACATACGCGTGTGGGTTTAGAGAGAAAGAGTTGTTTTTCAGTTGGTAGAGAAATTTTAGCCTGTGTATTTTCCTTCGAAGCTGAAGTGTCTGGATATTATGTTGTTTCATTAGGCTAGTGGGAGAGTCAGTTATTCTATATTTAGAAAAAATGAACCTAACTGCTCTGCGTTGAATCATCTCTAGAGCGTTTATGTTAGTTTTTGTGTAGGGATCCCATACGATGCTTGCATATTCTAGTTTCGGGCGAATGAGTGAAGTGTAGGCTAGCATTTTAGTATAATGAGGAGTGTG